AAGTCAATTTCCGACTGGTTGCTGTCTGCTTCAATTTGCAGCAGCACACTAGCGCCACTTGAACCTCTAGCGTATGGTGCAACCACTCGTGGAGTGCCGGCCGAAACGAACCCGTTCCACGCTGCGAGTGGGCACGCGTGGGCACGAGTGCCGTGAAACGAACTCGCTATTAGCAGAAGTTGCTTCTCGAAATTAGTGTTTGAAAATTTCCACGCCAGGGTAGTGGCACAAATCAAAATACGAAACATGCGCAGTGCGGAGTACTGGCGCCAACGTTACTAAAGCACTCAGTTGGGAAACTCGCCGTAGAAACCTGGGCCGCTGGCGTCCACCGAGACCGAGCTAAATGCGACAATTAACAGCGCCACTCTTTATTGTTTGTCTGTACTGTGGTCACCTTGAGCTTTTTGAAAGCCTGTTTTTGCGTAAAAACAAACGGAAAAGACTCTGTTTGTATGAAATTTATTGGAGTTTAGTACAAAAAGAGGGGCGCGTTATGTTTTTAAAATCTTTAGTTTGCAGGGTTTTTGCGGCACAATTAATATTGTTTTTATACAACCATGCTCAACGGTCCTTTCAGGTAGCGCGTCCCGACCTATTATAGGTGCATTTTAACTTCGGTAGTTCGACGCGGCGCGTCCGCCGGGGAGACGGGGGTGGCACCCTGTAACCTCTACGGCTGTATCTGTTCTGAAAGCCAAAATAGAAGTCACGTGCAGTTCCTCGAGTGGCCGCTGCGGGAGAAATGGTGGCGTTTTGTTCGTCATTAGCTCGGTTTTCGGAGACAGATTGGCGCCGCTTTTTCAAAGCTGTCTCTATGGGAGTTTCCCAACTGAGTGTTTTAGTAACGTTGACTGGCGCTGATCAAAATACGAAACATGCGCAGTGCCCTCCGCGTGTATTGTTGTTTCACGGTCGACTCGCCCGATTAAAGAGCATTTTTACAGAAAAAAGAAAAACTACAACCTAGATAGTGCTTCAAGACACTAAGATGTAAGTGTTCAGTCACAGGGTAAAAGCGCGTGAGTAACGATAACTAGATTTTTTTTTTTTTCATGAAATCTACACGTGGCTATATTCGGGTCGTGACTCGTGAAAGAACGTATTCACAAGTTTGTGCAAGGCCAACTTGACACACGAAATGTCGGAATAGACGATTTGAAAAGTGCAAGGAAAATCTAAAGTGTACTCGTTCAGTGATATGCTATTTATAAAACACTGGAAAGTAGTGAAAAAAGTAACGTCGTTACTTTCATCGTTACCGCAGAAAAAAGTAATAGAACTACAGTTACAAGTTACATTTAAAAAAAGTAACTCGTTACAGTTACAAGTTACCAAAAAAGTAACGAAATTACAGTAACACGTTACTACCGAAGACTGACTGTGTATCACTTCCCATACAGTGTAATGCAAAACAAAATATTTGCCACTCAACTCTACGTCCTGCTGATAATGTAAATACTAAAAACCTGAAGATTATCGGCGAAGTTTGTCTTTGGATGCAAAAAAATAGCTATGTTGCACAGATGCAACAATGTGCACGGCGGTATTTTCTCTTCGTAGAGCTGGGGCTTTATGTTGCACGTTTTGGACTCCGACGGCGACTAGGGAGAAGGAAGTGACGTCAACGACACAGCAAACACAGATTGGATGTTGACAGAAGGAAACAAAATCAACATCCAATCTGCGTTTGCTGCGTTGTTGACGTCACTTCCTTCACCGAATTCCTTCAGACAGCGAGCTCTCCACAGCAGTGACGATGAAAGTTGATGTTTTTTCTGAAAATGCAACGTGTAGGAAATAAAAAAAAAAAAAACTACAAGCAGTGTCGGCTTTATTGACAGGGATTTTCGGAAGAGAATGTGGGTTTGCTTCCATGCTTTCAAAGAGCACGCTTAGAACCGCTAGTGAAGATAATCCCCTATAAAATGTATACTCTCCAATTTATTTATTTTACCGCTTATTGTGTGCGTTGCATGAGTCGCTGTTAATTTCTGTACCCCAGATGTCCAGCCCACTGCAAACTGTAATGCCAGTTCAAGCGAGGCAAGTACAAGCTGTGACGAAGAGGAAGCTTCCGCAAGCCGCCTGATGCGGGATCCTGAAACAGTCAAGTTCACTGGACAAAATGAGCTTCCGCAGGAAATTTCAGGAAACACCCTTTCAATACTTCAAGTTCATCTACCCAGGCGCTCTTATTTCGCTTGTTGCAAATGAGAGCAATTTGTACTCAGTCCAGAAGGATGCCAGTAAGCCCCTCGGCACCAGTGCCGATTAGATTGATGTTTTTCTAGGCACCTGCATGTGAATGTCTATAATTCAGCTGAAGAACACAAGGCGGTAGAGTGAAGCTACCAGCTAGAGCAAGCCAAGTAGCTTACAACCTCACACCGGCACGCTTCGAACAGTTGAAGCACAGCCTTCACTTTGTGAACAACAGCTCTCTCAGCCTAAGACATTATCCTGATAGAGACCGGCTTGCGGAGATATGACCGTTGGTCGATGCTGTAAATGAACAGTTGTCGCTGGTACCGCTTGAAGAGCACAAGTCTGTGGACGAACAGTTATACCTTTCAAAGGTACAACTGCACTGAACAAAGCATTTGTTCTTTCAGGAGTAAGGGCTTCTCGTACAAGCTAGAACTGTACGCGAGAAGGAAGGGGAGGCTTTGGAAGAGAAGGTAGCGACCCTGGATGACATTCAGCTGTCGAAGGTTGCAAGGCAACAAAGCAGTCACCTTGCTGTCCACCTTTGTTGAGGCAAAGCCTGTCCTAACTGCCCCAAGGTGCGGCCAAAAGGAAAAGGCCGATATACCGTGTCCGTCTGCGATAAGTGCTTACAAGCACATGGGAGGAGAGGATCTCTTAGACTCTCCGATCTCCCGTTTACTGCGACCATCTCCGATCGCAGAAATGGTACTTTCGTATTTTCCTTTATATTCTCGACTTTACGGCTTTAAATGCCTGGCTGCTGTACAGGATGAATACCGAGACTACTTCCGATCAACCAGCACGAAAGCTCATCTCCTTAGCGGAGTTCAAGATACACCTTGCGACCAGGGGCGGATGCAGGGATTTCCTGAGGGGGTGGGGGTCAGGTGTTGGTCAGCGTACCATATGTTTAGGAACCCCCTCTCCCTCTCCTTCGTTTTACGCCCTAAATTTTACACATGCAGAAATCAAGAGGGGGGTCAGGACATCCGGAACCCCCTTCTAAATCTGCCCCTGCTTGCGACATCTCTGCAAAGCAGGAAAAAATTAACTAAAGGGAAGGCCCAACAATGAGTCGGTGGAGCAAGGCATCTGGCTGAAGAAAACATCTTTCAGCACCGTGTCCACCTCAAGGTGTCAGGATTGATCAGGTATTATCATGATGAATTCATCTGTGTTCGATATTTATTTGTGCATTTAAGTACAGGTCGCATAAAAGGCGCTTCCGCCCGTACAGATATGTGCCTATGCGGCCAGCTAGACGATGATGGTGATGCGAGGCTTCAGAAGCGTGGGACGATAATGGGATGGTGAAGAGGGTGAAAAGTGAGGTGGGTGACCAATGATGAGGTACGCAAGACATTCGTGGGTGTTGGTTTAGAGGCATTTGGCTGCTGCCTTGCAGAGCTGTGTCACCTCGTCTCTGTGTTGGCCACTGAGTGCTTTGGAGTCAGAAGCGACTATGTTGCAAGTTTCCTGGATTCAAGGGCTTTGTATGAGCTACTGCTGTAACTGGCACTCACCTGTGCTCAACGAGCAAGAACTTTCTTTTGTATCACACAAACAAATGAGGCCACATCTCTCACCGACGTCTGTAAATACAAGTTCGGTTCTGGTTCACACATTTTTAGCATTCCGCTATAAATATTCCGTTATTTGCATCTTGTTGCAAATATGCAACATAACCATCTTGTTTCAATGTAATTTTTTTCGAAACGTTAAAATTTATTTTAGCAATAGCATGGCGATCACTGTGGTATTCTACTTCTGAAATAAAATTATGAAAAGATAAAAGTTGCGCAGTAAAGGTAAATGATTTAGACAGAAATTTATATTAACCTCGACATCCGCGGCCCTCCCCGAGAAAATTGAAGCGGGTGAGCCTACATTACCGAATGCATTTAATAGAGTTTTAGTAGATCGTTCCCACGACTCCGATAACGATATCCCGATACTCCGCCACCGCCTCCCTTGCGCATGCATAGTATCGTTATCGGGGCTATCGGAACGATCTACTAAAACTCTAGTAACACGCACGCTGTTGCGGATATTCAAGTTTGTCACTTATCTTAGTTGTCCTGACAAGTTTGCGGATCGTAACTAGAAGAGGCACTCTCCTAATCGCAACGTAGAATTGCAACTAAAAAAAACTTACCTGCACAGTAAAGGGATAGACTGGCTGCAGCGGAACTTTCTTACACAGAAGCTAGCAATAGCATGGTAATTTCCAATACAGCACCAACTTCTCAATTCAAAACATTTATATGTCGCAAAAACAAAGTTCCGCAAAAAAAAAAAAAAATTTGGATTTGTGGTTTTAGTTTAGTACTAGTATTATGCAAGTATCCTGGTTGGGATTCATTTTTTTGTTGAATTTCTGTGCTGGTGAACCGATACTCTTATTTTAAAAGAAACATATTTAACAAACAGTGCAGTTCACCTGAAAACAGGCATCCGTCGTGGTGATCCATGCTTCCCAACTTCTGCCTAGAGCACGCGATGCATCCACACGAGCAATTACTTAAATTTAGACCGTACGCTTGTTGCATGCCCGTAATGTACAAACTGGAAGACGGTACCCGGTCTACATAGGGTCCTTCATTTTCGGGTTTTATATGTTTAAAAAATCTGGCGCTATTTTTGGGCTGATAATCGGGTTTAAACCGATTTTCATAAAAACTGTAGGGTGCAAATATCGAGTAATATTGGGCTTTACCCGAAAACAAAGAATCCTAGTCACACACAGTAGACAGAAACCAGACAAAGCAATGAGAAACTAAATCCGGACAGACGTGACACCTGAAATTTTATGGATAAGATACTAAAAATATGCAAAGCAGTTGCTTGCTTGCGTGTCATGGCCGGAGTGCTATGCCAAAGCCAAAATAAAAAAGCGCCTTCAAGAAGCTTCAGACAAAGTACATGATTTGCTTCATGGCATCCGTAAGGGCCACAGCATCTTCGTACTCCCTGGTCGAGAGACTCGGGCCACCCCCAGAGCTCGAGCTGGCCTTGGACGAGACATCCACCTTGCTGAAAATGTGCTCCTTGGCCCTGAACGCCGCCAGGTGCGCATAGTACACCGGCGCGGGGATGCTGACGCTACGGGCGCACCTGGCATACGTGTGGCACAGGTAGTAGCTCAACTTCTGCAGGTCGTCCGACGAGAAGTTGTAGTCGTCGTGGACGACATAGTAGTGAGCGGGTTTGCTGGTCCCCTGGATGCCGTAGTGGCTGCACAGGAAAAAGTCGAAGTCCACAGGGTGTGTGACGACTGTGTCCACGGTGGTGCCCGGGGGCACATTGCGGGCCTTGCCCACACCGTCTCGGTCATTAGTTGGCATGAACCGAGTGTGGTGGCGCTTCTGGACCACAATGAAGGTGACCGGAGGCTTGAAGCTGCCGTCGGGCTGCAGCGAAAGGCACGCGTCCCGAATGGCCTGCAGCTCGAGGTCGCGCACTTCGGCAAACTGGCCCTCGCTGACTCCGTCGCGGTAGAAGATGATGTGCTCCGGCTTATGGCGCGTGGCCTCGCGGAAGGCCTTGAGCAGTTCGATCACCATGCCCGAGAGGTCCTTAATCATCTCGACACGGGCCACTGCCTCCTGGTCTTCCAGCTGCACTCGGATGGACGCACGGTACTTGGACGGGATGGAGTCCAGGCTCCCCACGCAGGCCGCGATGGATGGCCGGATGCGGTCCCCAGGAGCAGGGTGGGACACGTCCGCTCCAATGATTATAACCGGCTTCCTGAAGATCTCTGGCTTCTGTGCCAGCAGGAGGCCGTTGTTTATGCCGCCCATCTTTGCGTTTATTTTCTGACACAGATTCACCATTAGTTGAGGTTTGCAGTTCCTGGTGAAGTTTTGCTCCAGGATGCACTGCGTCCTGATCCCCAGGCTCGTCTCGGCAGTTTGCTTGATATCAGCATAGGAGGAGTTCCGACCAAGGACGACTATGACAAGTTGCACTCCAGGGAAGTCCTTCTTGATCTCTGCCAGGATCTGACTGGTACTGATTCTCCCCACATCCCTCATCCTGACGTCCAGTGGGGGTCTGACTGACATGCCAAGTTTCCCTCCGGTCTGCTGGAAAAGTCTGGTGAAATTTTCCAACTCGTCTCTTCTCAGACGCGGAGTGTTCATGCCGAGCAGTACCCAGCTCTCCACAGAAGCGGCCTGGTGGAACTGCACGTCCCTCAGGTCCCAGGAGCCCTCCCTGGGATGGAGCTTCTGATCACCCTTCATAACGATGGTGGGGGCCTCGAGGACGCGTCCCTTGAGCTGCGTCGGTTCAGTGCTTATCTTGATGCCGAACTCGCTGAGGTAGGGTTGACTTTTCTGCACCACGTCTTGCACTGCTTCCTTGATTTTCGCAAACCGCAATGCAGGTGGTTGTGCAGTCCTCTTGATCATCTCCTTAGTCATGTCGGGAGCAAGCTTCCTGCGGTATGGCTGGCCCTTGGGAATCCTACAGGCCTCGAGCGGGATGTAGACAGGTCTCGTAGCGCTGCCAACCATGATGCACGGCAGCTGGGGATAATGGGCAAACCTGGGGTACTTCTTGCGGAAGTACTCCGCCACGCTGGTCTTCGTGTTGTCCTCTAGCAAAAAGTTGAGGTTTGCTGCCGATTCTCTCGTGATTTTGACCACACGGTACTTACGGGGGTACGGCAGATGCATCGCCTCCACCTTGAGCAGTTTGAGTTCCTTATTAAGGATGTTGATCTGACTGTCGTTCAAGGATCTCGTCGTCTCGAGAGAGAACTTGGTCCTCCAGTCACTGAGCACCTTCACCATGAACTCCAGCAGTGTCTGCTCCTCATAAAATGAAGTGGCCGAGCGGTCGATGTTCAGCATGGGCTTCCACTGGGCGGGCCGCACGCTGGTGTAGTAGCCGAACCACACCTCCTGCCCGCCTCCAATGGAGTTCTGGTCCCTGGGGCCTGGTGGCATGAAGATGGAGCGCCCCACGGGGGTCCACTGCATGCACGGCCCATGCCGCATGATGATGTCCAGCGCCTGGATCACCTCTTGCGGAACCACGCGCACCCGGTTGTTGTAGACTGCGTGCAGGGCGTCCAGGTTGACTGTGGCCGCATAGTGAATCTTCACTGAGAACTGCTGCGAGGGCTCGCCGGGTCTGCGGGGCTCTTCCTCTTGATAGTCCACGGTGAAGATGCGCTCCTCGAAGGGCAGCTTGCGCCGCGTGTACAGATTCTTGCGGCCGTCAAACGCGGGAAGGCACTTGTTCAGCTCCCCACGATACTTGTTCACGAGCTGCTGAATCACCCGCCGGTTGACATGGGTGCTGAGGGCGCGCATCTTCTTCTGCCCGGGGGCCTTGGCCTCCTCCTTCCTGAGCGGCGGAAGGATGGCGACATCGTAATGATAGACATTGCCGTTCGGCAGCTCCAAGGCAAAGTGGTTTGCCAACACCTGGAAGAAAAGTAAAGAGTCAAGCGTCAGTCAATCGCCTTGGCAAAAGCTTTTGTTGTCCAGGTCTTTATGTCGTGAGGGTTGAGCAGGAAAAATTTTGACACATGAAATTGAATGTAGGGAGGGAGGAAGGGGGGGGGGGGGGGGAGGGGCAATGCATAGTGCTGCCCATGTGCAACATAGTTCTCCACACCTAGAGTTTTTAGACTTAAGAGCTCACAACTCAGGAAGACCTGTTCATGCACACACAGCAGCATTATAGCCAAGGTGCAGGATTTAAACTAGACCAATACTGTGTTGACATGTCACTGCTCACTGAGGTACAGTTCACACATGGTGCAGTGCCAACTCAGCACAATGTGTAAACCAGCCTTAAGCTCAGTGCAATGTGTAAACCAGCTTTAATTAAGTCTGTCAGTTTCTTCTGCTAGTTGCCTAACAGGCTTCACCAAAGGGGACAAAAAAGACTGCAGCAATTACCGTATTTACTCGAGTAATAGCCGCACTGCTTATGAAGAAAACCTGAGGGTTCGCTTTACCGCAGAGCACGCTGATTGCCGATCACCGCGATCGACAACATGACTACAGCGGTTTACAGGACTGAGATAACACAGTGATGTGTTTGGCCTAAGCCATTTTGGAGCACTTTTCGGAGCAGTCAAAACAGTGTTTTGGAGAGGCAAATGTGGCTTTTGGAGCAGCCAAGACAGTGTTTCGGAGCAGTAAAAGTGGCTTTTGAAGCAGCCAAGACAGCGTCTCGGAGCAACGAAAGTGGCTTTTGGAGCAGATATTCTTACAAAAACAAAAATATTTGTTTTAAGTGTTGTACAAATGAAGGGCACTTTGTGCTTTGACTTTTGTAGTGTTCTAATGTGACGTGTTGTGACGGAAGTTCCTGCTTGGGTTTTTCCTGCTGAGACTCAGTATTCAGTGCACGCTTGCCCGGTATTTTACGGTATGCCTTGCGGGGTAAGAAGTGTATCTTACCCGTTTAAGGGGGGACACTGGCTAGAGGTCAAACTTTTGAACTACTCAAGTGATCAAAATGAAATTTTCAGGGGAGATTTAGCTTCAGATGTAGGTGTACTGTGCAAACTTTCAGCTCCCTAGGACAAATTTACATACCTGCATAAGATGATGTGTCACTTTTCATTAAGAAATCTATGATATGCAAATGAAGCTAATAAGCACCACTTTGACTACTTGAATATAAAGTGGGGGATATGGGACCTCGGGCTATCTAGTTTTAATAACCAAAATGTAAATATTTCAGGAAGAGTTATTACCTCAAAATATGAGACGCATATCTGTCCTATGTCAATTTTTGAAAACTTAGTTTTTTATCACTGAGGACTTCAACTTAAAACAAAATAAAGTAGATAGCCCAATTCCCCAGTAAATTTCAGTTCAGAAACATCTTGATTGTGGTATCCAAATATTTTTACCTTCGAACAAAAGATTCCTTCGTATGAATTTTGCAGCAAAAAGTGGAACTGAGAAAAATGTATTTGAACATTGAACTCCTTTACTTTGTTACTGCCTCACAGTGTGTTAAAACATTTTATATCAACGTAACTATTTGGCGTATGGTTATCAAATTTGGTGTAAGGGTGTATAATAAGTTTATAAAACTGAAAACCTTAAAATTGAAAAATGAATTTTTTCAAAAATATTTAATATTTAGGCCCATGTCCCCCCTTAACAAAAATCAATTTTACTGGCCATAAAACTAAAATCTATAGGCTCGTGTCTAACACCTGTGAATGGAGAATCACTTCACAAAGGTCATGTATATCAGGTCGCGTGACTGAGCCGCACGACGTCATTGCGTCGTGTGGTCATGGCTGAGGTATGACACACCTTTTCAGATTCAACCCCATACCAAAAAACCGATCCACCGTTGATAACATACTGAAGACATAGAAAATGAGTCACGACTCTGTTAAATGGACATTTCCAGATGAGACGCATTCATCACAAGGTGTACGACTCTCTTGTCATGAAAGGGTGTGAAACCTTAAAGTTCTGAAGCAGCCATTTGCTGCAGCGTAATTTTTGTATTGTTTACTACTTCTCAAGCTTTTATCTATCTCAGGATTGAAGCTTTGACGGATCCAACTAAACGGGTTATCGGTCACCAAGAAAGCCGAGAATTAAAGCTTAATTTCTATATAAAAAATGTGTGAAAGAAAACTTCTCGTCACGTTCCATGCTTTACAAATGCTAAGTGTTTATTCTTAGAACTAAATAGACAAGGTGAAACAAATTTTTAAAACACTACCAGTCCTTTTCATTACCATCATGGTTTCAAAAATCGAGCGCACTGCCATATTTTCTTGAATTTACCCTAGGCGATTCGAAGGAAGGAGCCATCACAGTGACAACAATGCTGTGCCATTGTCAATGTGACATTCAACAAGCTCAAAAAGAATTGCAAGTAAGTGCACAGTCTCCACTGACATCTGTACGACGCACGACTTGTTCTAGCAACTTTGGATACCATCGATACAAGAGCCACGTTCGGGCCATCCCAAACATGCCCGTGGAAAGGAGGCACGCGATCGAGCCGTTTTTCTTGCATACCGCCGCCTCGCAAAGTTGCGGCCCGTTCCCCCCCCCCCCCCCCCCCCCCCCCAGCACACGGGCCATAGTTTCTACCTCGCCGCCCCGCGGACCGCAGAGCCACAAGCCATTGAGTCTGACAACGAGGAGGAAGCTTTGCGGTGCATCTATGGTGCCAGAATGCACTTACTGTGCCAGAACGCATCTTTGACTGGCGCAGGCGGAGTCCTTTCCGAACCATACCAGTGATGTGATTGGCCTAAGCCATTTTGGAGCACCTTCTGGAGCAGCCAAAACAGTGTTTTGGAGCAGCAAAAGTGGCTTTTGGAGCAGACATTCTTAGAAAAATAAAAATATTTTGTTTTAAGTGCTGGACAAATGAAGAGCACTTCGTGCTATGTTGTGACGGAACTCGTTTGTGTTTTTACTGCCGAGACATCCCACAAGCCTACAGCATTGTAGGCGTTGCCGAGCAATTCCGAAAAGAACGCTTGCCATTGTTTTACCGGTTCTCGACGTGCCAGATTCTCGTCAAAAGTAAGCAAAGGTAAAACAATGAATTGCAAGCGTCCCAACTGGTGCCTCTGTCAAGCAGTCATGTTCACATGCATGTGAGGGCAACTTTCAGCAGGCTTGCAGTCGCACGTGCTTCGTCGCGCGAGTGGAGACAACGGCTCTTCAATCGAAACCGAAACAATGTCACTCCGCTCCGTCGCCAACCGGTTCCCAAAATAGTATGCAAAATGTAACTGTCCAGCATACGACAAAAAAAAAACACAGTCCAGCGGCGCGAGCTTGCCAGGCTGGCGGGCGAGGCAGAAGCTAAACACACAGAAAAAAAAACCTGAGCACATCGATGCATGACATCGCGAGCCAAGGTCAAACATTACTTGGAGCACTTTGTGCAACGACCTAACTCAAAACGAACAAGCGCGATGTGCGGGTCCAGCGTGCAGACATTGCCTTCTTTGCTTTAGCTCACTTCTCTTCACTAACTTTTTTTTGCGGCAAATTTGCTACGTACCGGGGTCCCTCTCGAAAGAAAACCTGCCGAGAGAAACCCAGGTAATCAATACTTCAACACAGCAGTCTTTGAGTTAAAGAGGGATTTTTGTAGTAGAGTATGATTTAAGAGGGAACACTGGTCTTGGAGCTTTTTTTCTTACTTTATGACCAAACTTAAAGGACACATGCAAACAAAAAAAAAAACATTTTTTTAAAACGGCTTAGATGGAAAAAGGACGCCATAAAACGATTTTACAACGAAGAAAAAAAAATTTTTAGAGCTATATTTACGGCGCAAAACGAATTTGTAGTTGGCGCCCGCGGGTCCCGCGGAAAAGTGCTCCGTATTTATCACGTGACTGGTCTTTATTTATCACGTGGTGCTTGCGTTCTTTCGGAAGCTTCCTGTGCCCTCTAAAAGTAACTTATTCATCTTTGGTTGAAGTATAACAAAAAACTAAGATGAATAAGTAACTTTTAGAGCCCAAAGGAAACTCCAGAAAAAGCGCAAGCAGACGTGATAGACCTGTGCGCCGGTCAGACGACGGCGGCGCACAGGCCTACCACGTGACCAGCGGCGGCTCCCGCGAGCGCCAACTACAAATTCGTATAGCGCCGTAAATATAGCTCTAAAAAATTTGTTTCTTCGTTGTAAAATCGTTTTATGATATCCTTTTTCCATCTAAGCAGTCTAAAAAAAATGTTTTTTTCCTTTGCATGTGTCCTTTAATGAAACTGCACAAGCTTGTTCAGCTTTCTGTGCTGATTTCATATATCTGGTCATTTTCTCAGTCAGTAGCATTGTCCTCAAAATAATTAAAACTTGCCTGCCTTCGTTTGGAAAAACTATAGAAAAAGAACTACTCAACACAATATTCTTTTTAACACATGGCTAGATACTATGAAGTGTAGAGAATACAATGTTGGAAGCACTTTTAAGATAAACTCATTATTAGTGATTTTACCACACATTGAAGTTCAGCGCTCAATGCATGTCTAACAAGTAATATAGCAAAAGATCAAATAGAAATTTTTCTAGACTTATATTAAAAAATCTGCTCTCACCACTGTATGCTTCACACATTCAGCTACACATTTCAGGAATGGTTATATTTCTATCTGATCTAGATGCTCAGATATCCCTCCTGCAAATTTTCAACGAGTCCGAAAATTGTGTTTTGTGAAAACAATGTTTTAAAGTCAACTTCAATGCACATGCAGCCCACATAGGTAATATAAATTTATTTATAGCTCAAATATTCATTCATGAAATTATAAGCCTGGTTAGATTCAGAAGAACATTCATCACCATCTTCAAAAGAATGCAGTTTTAGGAAGTTTTTGGCTCCAAAGACCCATGTCCCCCCCCTTAAACAAGGACAGGAATGTCGATGAACAAGTTTAGAAAGCGCCATATCTGCAGCGACGTGGAGATGGTAACACCAGACGTCGCGCGACCACGGTGACTGTGGTCGCGCAAGCGTTTCAGGGGCCCTAATCTGGACACTTGGTGAAAAAGTCGGCGAGAAATCTGGCTGCCGTGATATGCCAACTCCGCACTTGACCTTGGCGCCTGCCAATCAGAGCCGCTGGATTTCTCGCTTTCTTTTTCGCCGAGTGTCCAGATTAGGGCCCCAGCTCACAAAGTAACTCTCGCCGTGCAAAAACGTGGTTTTGTTTCACAGCATGATGGAATGGCTGCCACCCGGCACACTAGCGTCAGAGCGTCCGCACACGCCCGCGTCTACCTTTAAAACCTTTTAAAAAAGACTCAAGACGAGATTCTCGAGACCATATATACGGCTCTGCCGAGACGAGGAGGGCGTGAAACGCGAGACGGCGGGGAAAACCATGCAAGGGGGGGGGGGGGGGGGGGGGGGGGGGGAACAGATGGACGATTGATGCAGGGTACTTTGTGTCGGGCAGAGCCGTATATTGGGAGAGTTTGGCCAGTGGGTGTGGCGACGAAGGCGCGGGAGAGGAGAAAAGTAAATAAAAGGGAGGAGAGCGCCGAAGGAGCGAGAGGGAAAGGGGAGCAGAGAGGAGACGACCGCCATTTTTGAGCAACGCTGTCGGAGAAGAGCACTGCTGAGGCTATGCGTCGTCTGCTACGGGCCGACTTCTTTTTCGCCTGAATAAAAGTTTGTGGTCATACGTTGAAAAATCTTCATTTATTAGCTTTTTAACCCACCGAGGAATAACAGAATGTCATTTTCTTGCCAGAGCCAGCGATATAAAAGGCAATAATCGAGATTTAGATGCCGATCCCACGCATTCCGCCGGGAGAATGATCAAAGATGGCGGCCCTCCCCACTCGGGTGGGAGCAGTCGGGAGTTCACGCGCATGTGCTCATGCCTCTCGCTCTACGCAGCGTGCTGATTGGCTCACTTAGGAGGAGAGCGTTACGGCGGCGAGATCATAGACTGACCAAACTCTCCCCATATACGGCTCTGGTGTCGGGCGGCCGCTTGCGCCACCTAGCTCACGCATGCTCAATTACGGTTCTCAGTTTAGTTTCGGTTTTAAAAAGCATCCGAAATTGGTCCTTTGGTGCAGGCTTGGCGCAGATTACCCATATCTTGGCAAAATGTAGCAGGATGTAGCAGGATTAGCCCCTTGGCGCAGTTTGGCACGATTGGCGCAGCAATCACATCACTGCCATACACCAAAAGAGGTACCCAAGTCGCCACAAACGACGAAACGAAAGCCGGAGTCGGACGTCGCGATCCTGGCAGTCGGTGCTAAGGTCCCGGCAAAAAGCAAGAGTGAACTCGAGCATTGCCGTCGTCGCGGCGACCAAACTCCGCTTGTGCAGCCGGAGAACGACGACCTTGGAAAGCAACCTGCAGCAGAATGGTCTGCCATGACAGCCACCGTGACGTGACCAGGATCGCAGCCAGCAACGCGACACTTCTGCAACGTCGCCAGGCGGAAATCGAGGGACCCCCTTTTAGGATGCGGTAAACAGGCCAGTCGGAGACACGACCCGGGCTGTCCGAGTGCGGCTTCCGAATCTCGCGACAGGGCCCTGCACTCTTAAAGGGAAGCTGAAGCGGTTTTAAATACGAGGAAAAACACCTGAGCCTAGTTAACGAGACCTCAGCCATCACGAATATCGTATTCGTTTGGTCATTTTCTGCGCGGATTAACCGGAACAGCGCCTTCAAAGTAGCGTTGAAGCCACGCCTCTCCGAAGCAGAGCAGAGGGAAAGGGGAGAGAGGAGGATGCCCGTCAGCCGCCGTCACATAAGGACCGGGTGGGGGACCCCGCCGCGGCTGGCCGCGCTTTCCTCGTAGGCTGCTCTAGTGTCTTTTTGAGCTGTCGTTGTTCTGCCGCTGCATAGCGCTTGCTTTTATCCGTTGACCGGTCATGCTAATGACTCAATCGCCTTACGTGCTAATTGTTCTCTTGTTTGTTCACGTGTTCGCAGAATTCTCGTGGCACCAAACCAAATGACTCGTGCTGTACTCGTGTGTAGCCGCCAGCTTTCATGAACAGCGCTCGTCGTAGGGTTTCTTCCCGCTTACCGTCTTTTCCACTTCGTCACTGAGATTTTAAAGGGGTAGGTGGGTTTGAGCAAGTACACCGTTTTTTGTTCGAAACGGGTTTCGGACGGTGCATATGAAAACTATGTATGTACGTATGGGTTTGGATCTGAAGAAGGCTCACTTGAACCCGACGCTCTGCCGACCATCTTTGAAGGTAAGAAGGCAATTCAGCGCATTAAAAGTCACAAGCAAAGAGGAAACGTAACTGGGTAGGAATTGTAGGTCGACTGTTCTAGAAAAAAAGCTGTTACGTTATTAGAAGTGTGCAGTGTGCTAGAAAAGCCGCGATCATTTAGCCGAACAGCGGGTTTCTACTGGCTCTCTTGTGTTAACCGCCTTATTAGTGTGTTAGTGTTGGTTTCTTATATTGTTGAAGTGACCATATTTTCCGGACCGACTCCGGCCCGGGAAGTCTGGGAAAAAAAAGAACAATTAAGTAGCCCAAGACTATTTTCTTCTGCTTTTAATCTACTCGGCTACCCAGTCACTTGGGAGAGGAGGGCTTGCTCTAATAAGTAGTCATGCAATTCATGATGCGACTTTCACGGTGCAACTTGTTTTAACATAAACTTTTTTTTTTACAAATGCTGACATTATTTGAGGCCACATATATTTTAAACGTAAACATAAATTTGGTTAAATTTTCCTTTCAAAAGTTCATATTCTCTTCAGGACAGCTTTGGGGAAATACAACGCATGTGACCTTCTGTCCTGAATTGAGTTCTTTTTTTACAAGTTACGCAGTGTTTTTCGTATAAAGTTTGTGTAATGCAACAATTCTTTATTAGAATGCAATTAAATGCAAAGGTGCAAGCGAGCTGGACAAGAATGTTGAAAATAATCCCTGGAGAAGGGGAACAAGAGGGACAAAGGACAAACACAAATATCCAAACACAGCTAGGTGACTGGTGAGCGACCGAAAAAATCCGCCTGGTCCGGGTATCGAACCCGGGACCTCTCCATTACAGGTGGCCGTAGAAATGCGATCGGACGATGATAATGCCTGGTGGCGGTGTGATGCAGTAAACAATGCTTGGTAGAAGTATGCGAATGTAGAGACCCAGGAAGCTTTCACGAATTCGACGTCAAATTAAGGGGTGCCGGGCACACATCTCCGCTTTTTCTAAAGCTATAATGGCGCCATAGTTTGCGGCAAACAAACTAAACGCAGCAGAGGGCACCACTATCACAAGGATGGACCTTTTGCGCAGTTATTCACATAGTGCGCAAGGACATGGCGGTGGCAGGACGGCGACCCTATCTTATCAGCCGTCTCATCTCAGGGGAAGCTCTCCCGTCGCCCGAAGCCGATTATACTATCCCTTCAAACAACCTCAGCTTTGATGAACAATGCAGCCTGCACGCTCACGCGTCCCGCAGCTGGCAAGCACGAAGGCCGATATGTGCAGAATTCTTGTCCTCTGACGACCGTTTTGGGGAGGGTCACGCTAATCCGGCTTGAGGTGTCCTGTCAATAGCACTCCGTTTATCGTCAACATTTTAGGTTACAATAAATAGCAGTAAGTACGTTCCTGAAGGTACAAAGCCAGCCATCTTGCCTTCGCGCAAGCGGTTCCTCGTCTGTGTTTATTACTGCGGGGGGTCATTTTCCTACCTTGCCAACGGCTGGAACGCGTACTTTGTCACGTCGAGGGTCGTCTGGACACATTCCTCTTTCGGATTCACCGAAAGATTTCGAAAAATCAGAAGCCGAACCAGATTTACGAGAGCAGAAGACCCGGCACCCGGCTACTTCCGCAAGCGACGGAGCAAGCGAGAATCGAGATGGTCCTTTTATGACGTAGCGGCGCGTCACGCGTGGCTAGCCAATGGCGTGCCGCTGCGGCGATCGCTTCCGATTTCTTTGCTTTTTTTCGCGTTTAAGGATTATTTTGGGTCAAATGGTTGTGATATTTGGATTCAGCAGGCACAAACACGTCAGAATCAACCATTAACTCATTTTTTTCGAAAAGCTCTTCAGCTTCCCTTTAAGACCTCGCCGAAGTCCGTCGTAACGGAAGGTCGCAGCAGAGGCACAAGACTGGACACTCACCGATATCGGCCTGCCCAGCTTTCCCTCGCCAGGGCGTTGGGGAAATGGGGTCCGCTTCCTCGGCACGACCGGAAGGAACTCCGGAAACTTTTGCATGTCGAAGCGGTCTCCCCCCGCCGCTTGAGGAGGCGGCTGCGCAGGTGCGGGTGTTGCCTGCGCGGGCGGGGCCGCTTGTGCAGCCGGGGTTGCTTGTGGAGGACGCTGGGGAGGACGCTGCGGCTGCCCCAGGGCAGGGAACGCTTCCGGAGGGCCCTGCTGCTGCTGCTGCTGTCCCCTCTCGAGCATTGCCCGGGCAAACGACTGCTCTTGGGGGACATCTCGAGGGCCGGGTACAGGTGCCTGTCCCCCGCGCTGAGGACCCCCTGCGCGATCGGAGAGGCACATTGAACACAACGATTTGGTGTATGTCGGTGTAAGCTAGTAGTGCAGAACTACCGATAGTGAAAGCCAAATCTATCTATCAATCCCCCCAAAGAAGGAGTATGAACAGTCGATAAAACTAACATAGTAAAAACTATTTTTGACCGAGTGTCAATAGTTTTCGTTAAACATAGTCTACACTCAATCCGTACGTATCAGTTGCCGTCCCCTTTTTGTGTTCTACTTCCATTTTCTCAAGGCTTGATAGCTCTCTGAAAGCAACAGTCGAAAATAGACTAGTGAATGTTGACATCAATGGTACTATGGATAGTTCTTAGAAAACTATTGAGTGTATCGAGCCAATTTATCAATAGTTTTGGAAAAACTACCGACGGTATCGAGAGTCAATTTATTGATAGTTTTGCATCGCTAGCACAAGCCTGTCACGGGTCATGCTGCGCCAAGGGATCCGGCATCCCAGAACAGAATCTACGTAGACACGCCCCGCAGGTGGACGAGCGTGGAAGCAGTCGTCTTCCCTTTTGTAGTAGTACCAGAATATGTTTATCAACAGGAAAGAAAAACAAAGATAGCTTGACTAGGTCATCTCATCTGGCGGAGAGGGCAGATTATCAGTGTCGTGTCAGGACCGCTGACTCGAAGCAGTCGAGAAGCAAATCTATGATCTGCTTTCTTTGTTGCAGTTCTCGTCTGGAATCCACCCATCCTGGCACCATGGGAATCGTAAATCTCATTCGCCCTTTTATTTGGCAACAAACTCAGTGGCCCTGGTACATGGGTTACGTCGTCTTAGCTATTTGTAGCCACCAATGCATCGTTACAAGCGATTCTGAAATGGCAGCATGCGACCTTGCTGCAAACTTACGACGACGATGTCGGGAGCTCATCGTCCTCCAGGCGTTCACCGCCCGCCCAGTGTCCCACCTGCCGTCTGGTTCCCCAGACACAAAAGCAGCCAAGGCCTTCTTCTTCGACACAATGTACAGACTCAAAGAGCCCGAAAATCAAACCCAGCAATAGCGCAAAAATTTATTTGGAAAGCAAGGGATCCCCATACCAAGCAATAATTGTTGCGTGTTTGTTTAAACGACGAGGGTGGATCAGCCCCAGTGGGCATCTGGGGTCTCTGCTGTGGATGTGAAATATAGGCTGTGTATAACAATGAACGGAGCGTAGTAGTGGTACTACTACGCTCTGTTTACCGTTATACTCTATTTCACCTTACGATGTACTGCAGGAAAGGCTACAAGCGCGAGCTCCTTGCTCTGGGGCACATCTCGGCGGCACAAGCTCTCGTGATTTAGGAGCAGCACCCAACGCTATGTGCTCGCGCTTCTAGCCTTCAATGCGGTACAACATAAGGTGAAACGAAGTATAGCCGGTGGATGAGCACGCACAGAGACACGCCGAATACCGGCTAGTCCTATCAAGCGCAGAGAGCACGCCCCGACGTTGCGCTTTTTGCGCTGTTTGATGGGCCCTTCAGGCCAATCAAACAGCGCGCTCGGGCATAAGGTGCCAACAATGCCTTGCCCGCGTGTGGGCATGAAACAAAACAAAGCACGCGCGGACCACGATCGCGCGCAATCTAAAGCCAAGCGCGTGATTCTTAAAATGCAGCGCCAAACTCTCAAAATACAGCTCAGTTCATACATAGTCCACCCTCAACCACAAAAATAAAAGCTCGTGAAGCGATGACGGCCGCCAAAATGAACACCCTCAATCCCATGACACATGGTTAGGCCTAAAACTGACGGGTAACCCCTACTCCAAGCATGACCCGAAGGTTCAAAGTTTCATTTCACCTACCGCTGCTGGTGCCTTTCCCACGGTCGTTTCCTCTGCGTTTCGGTGGCATAGTGCTTGGTTTAGGGCAGTGAAATTTCAAAAAAACCTCGGTCAACTGCCATTAGCTAAAAGTCAGATCGTCGTCACGTTGAACCGCTGCCACCGCTGTCGGCTTTGAAACTGGTCGAAACGGGTAAAGTCAAAACATGACAAACGACCCGAACCACCCGAACGTGACCCGAAAACACCCGAACGACAAACGCACAAACAGGACCACCTCTTGGATGGATGGATAGACGCTAACGGCTGCACAATTTATAATGAGCGGTAGCTCGCGCCACCTATCCTATAAACCAAAGGTATAAGTTATGATGAGCGCGTTTTATGATTTTTCCCTCGTGCTCATTTCTTTAACTGAAGTTAATGCAAGGATCGCAGGGATGCAGGCGAGCCGCCTAAGAACTGACTTTTTTTAACCCAGGAGAGCGGGGAAACGGAAGGAAAGGGCAACACAAATCTCCAGACACAGCTTCCCTCCCTTCCTTCCCCAAATTTGCACACGCGCCTAGCATAGGTGGCAACCCTTTCAATATTTTGCAGTAAATTCTTTCCCCGGTTCCCCTTCCCTTTGTTTCCCTTCGTTTCCAGTTCACACAAAACACACACACGCACACGTAACAAAAAAAAAAGTTTTTTTTTTTTTTTTGGTAAATGTAGGGGTGTCGCGAACCGGCCGCGGTTCGAGTTCGACCAGGTTCGACTCTTTCGAACTTTTAGTGGAAAGTTCGTCGAACCTTGTATTGAGGTTCGACTCGTGTGCGCATGCGCGACAGGCTGGCCAGTTGGCTTCGGATTGGATGGTAATGGCTAAGAGATGAATTAAGTGCAGCGCTGATCGGCTACTTCAGTCAATACAGTACTAAAATTTAATTTATTAACTTCTTCAGTGAATAGAATTAGTTTCTTTTAATTGCAGCTGTTCACACAATAAAATAACCCTTTGCATAAAAAAAAAAAATTCTCCTACCCTAGACATGCTTGTATCAAGGTCTGGCCACACTGTCCACAAAGTCGAACCGGTCGAATCTGGTGAAAAGTTCGAAGGTTCGTCGAACCGGTTCGACCCAGTCGAACCCCAAAAGTTCGACCAAAAAATCTGGTTCGACAAAAGTTCGCGACACCCCTAAATGTGAGTAACAGAGCATTAACTTTTGCGGGATCGTCTGCTATCAGAACTCAACTACACACTTGAAAGAAGTAACAAGGAATACCAGAACAAACAATATGTTCTGCACCTGGTATTCCTTGTTACTTCTTTCAAGTGTGTAGTTGAGGTTGGAACTGTTGCATTCTCCCCTTTGTGTATTTTGGTTCATGGTTACCCTCTTCCGCTTTCCTTCAATGTGTAGTGCGGGTTAAAATGACCAATTGCCGTTTTTTTTTTTTTTTTTTTTTTTTTTTTTTTTTTTTTTTACGGTGACTAAGTACCGGTTAGTTTAATGGTTTGTTGCTTGGCTTTGTGCAATTAGGTCTTGTATGCCCTCTTTCCCTTTGGTTCCGTGTGTTTGCGGGTTTGAAAAAACCTTTTAACGGTTCTTTGTTGACCTTGTGTAGTCGGAGGCTTATCTTGTCCTTTTGTCTGGCTGAAAGATTTTTCTTTTGTAATGTTTTGGGCCTATGTTTGGCTTAGTGTATTCCGTGTATTGTTGTCATTGGTCGACTTGGTTGGTGGTGTGTGGACGTGGTGTGTATAAAAGTGCATACGATGGAATAAAATCCTTAGCTGTGTTTGAGACGTCGCCTCCTTGTGGCCTCTTTTCTTCTCGTCCCTTTTCCGAAATACCCCAGTCTCGGGTTAGACAAAACTATGGTTAACTTCCACCAGCTCGCTTGCACCCTTACAATTTTTTGACTTTGCATTTTGTGCAAAGTCAAGCTTTACTATGCCACCAGAGAGAAGCTAACCATTGATAATTTTATGCTTATACAGCCTATTGAAGATGCACTAGCGTGATTGTGATTGTTTCTTCACAAAACCGTGTAAAGAGGAAAATTCTCCGTAAAACAAATTGAACAACGAAAAGTCCAATATCTCTTCAAGAAATACACAAGTAAAATATTCGGCACTTCCTTTTTCTCATAAATAACTTATAAACTGTATATCTCGCCCATACCCTCGAAAATACATCGCCTAAATCAGGATAATTACCGTGTCAAAAAAAAAAAAAAAAAAAACTCCCTTTAAGTTTAAAAGAAATTTATATGAAATAGGCTCGCTTTATGCTTAGAAAGTTTTTAGGTTAAAGCCTGCAAACTTTTTGGGGCTCATGTATATAATCTGTCGGGCCCGGGCCGGGCTCAAGCTTCTATCTATAAATTCTGCCGGTTCCGGGCTGTCTCTCTTCCGGGCCGGGTCGGGCCGGGTCGGACCGGGCCGGGCCAAGAAATAAATATTCTGTCGGGCTCGGGCCGGGCCCGGCCCGGGCCGGCCGTGCTTCTCAATATTATTCATCTGTGACGATGCACTTTTCGCGCTGCGTCATTGGCTTCATCGGCTTCATCCGATCGTAACTTCAGCTGCGATTGGACTGACACGAAGTATAAACCTGTCTGAAGTTCTTAAGTTTGGAGCGGCGCCCCTGGCGAGCAAATTCAGACAAGTCGCGTTTCCGTTGGGCTTCCCGTTTCATCCTTTCAGGATCTCTGTCAGTGCTCGTTTACAGACGCTGAGGAACCGCTGACAGACGCTGAGGCGCCTCTTTTTGCGGTCGCGTCTCGTGAACGCCACACCACACACTGGCCGAGGGAAACAGGCCTATACGGGGAGCAAGTCGTCTGCTTCTTGTACAGGAGCGGCGGTGACGTCAGAAGGATGCCGGGCTCTGATTGGCTTTGATTGAAATGATCAGCCAATAATCAGCCAATAAGAGTTTGGCGTTCTGATATGATCACACACCTGTGTAAGAGCAGACGAACTTGAGCTTCGCATAGCGGCTAGCGGTTTGCTTTTTTTTTCAAATATATTTTCGTCGTGTCGGCAACTCTCTTATACGAGAAGAGAATTCAATTTAAACGACGTCGTGTATATTAAATTATGAATAAAGACGAACTGCGAGCAGTCGTTTATGTATTAGAGGGGAAAACCGCAACCGAAATCAAATCGAGGTTATAGATATGGCGCGCTGTTCTTGGCGATTTATCACGATCATTTGCTACCACGGGCGGGGCGTCGGAAGTCGAGAATGACCGCAGAGCAAGTGATGAGCAACGTTCATGATGGGAGGCCCTTGTTTATAGGACATCCAAAATGAAAGAAATTGGGTTTAAAAAGAAAATTGGCAGAAAACGCGTGGAATCCACCGATTCTATTTGTTTAGAAGACACTCATTTCGTGAGTTAAGAACCTTTAGCTGAATTGGTGCAAAGGACACATGACGTCACGGACGGTCGGACGGACACAATTTTGGGAATATAGCGGATTCCGTTCAAAAGCATTCCACGCTTTGAAACCCTTCTGCAAGATGGACAAATGTCCACGTTTCAGCATTTGCTTCATATCAGAAAAAATTACTGAATTGGTCTCATTTTGGCTTCCTCGGACTTCCCTCTTTTGCCAAAATGGGGAAAAAAATGTTCCTGTCTGAAAAGAGATTCCGCTGAAGTTAAAGGTGATCAAGGCTGCCAACTATTGTTGTTTGTTTATCTGGGTGAAAGAGGAGGGGGAGGTGGGATATGGACTAGTGATGGGACGAATCTTTATCCGAATCGAGATTCGGCGCCGAATCTGCAGATTCGGAAAGATTCGGAAAAGTAGCCGAATCTCAAGCGATTCGGAAAAGTTCGGAAAGATTCGGAGCGTTGCCAGGGTTGCTAAATCACGTTGATGTGTGTTTCAACTTTTTTGTGATATTAAATTCACTAAATTCTACAAAGTACACGAAAGATTATTGTAATATAATATCACAGTAATAAATAAAATGTTCCACTTTGTTTATATTATTTTGGATGGTTATCGAGAACGGTAGCCAGACATCGCGGGAAAGTTGGTTTCGGTTCTGGATTACGACCCAAATAGGCATGCTTGATGCACGCACGTGGAAATACAAGCGCATGTTTTCATCGCCGCAAGAGATCGATGCCGTTAGTGCTGTTCGGTACAGACACATTTCGTGCCGATAATTACTGTCAGTGTGGCACACACCACACAAGTGAGTATGTTCGATTCGATTATCTCCAACGATCGACTATCCACTGAGGTATTGCTATCGGAACACGGGAAACAATCTGAAACTTCGTTAATGCATGCTATCCGATTTAGTTAGTGTCTGTTTCCGAACAATGAAGTTGCGTTGGACACCCCTATATTCTGTTTCTTTTTCATCAAATAAAGTTCACGTATACAAAACTTGCTTCTGAGAACGGAGAAACGACAGTGCCACGTTTTTCTTTGCCACCGGTATCTCGCTCTCGCGACTTACATGTACAGACATACGTAGCTCTCGAGAAGGAAACGAATCATTTCCTTGGCTGAATATATATTTATTTTTCGTTGCGCCACATTACGTATAATACACAGCGTTTCGCTACATTTTACCGATCACCGCGAAACCGCACAGAAAGCGAGACCGTGCATTGGTTAGGCCTACTTCAACCACACCGATCAGCTCAGCTGGATCTGGGAGCGTGCCAGGGTCTAGAATGACAGTACAGTACATACCATACGTTGAAATAAACAAGACGAATTCTGGTTATATGCAGTAACAGTAGCTAGAAAAGCACAACTGACCGCATTCGCGAGGTTTACGACAAGGTTCATGCTGCCGCCTGCAACCAGCGACGATTCGGACGAATCTCCGAATCTGCCGAATATTCGTCGAGGGAAGTTCGGAAATTTCCGAATCTGTCCGAATCCGAATCTCGGGTGATTCGTCCCATCACTAATATGGACCTTGAGGATAAATTCCCATCCTTGCCCGTTTCGAGATCTGGATGAGCCGTACGCGTTCGTGTTTCACTACTGCGCGTGATGCACGTTGAAGACCCCAAGGCTATAGCAGTAGTGCTGCAATAGCTAAATTTCTGATCTACAGCCGAGACACCAGACGCCCATCCATTCGGGCTGACTAACTTCTGGTTGTGACAATTACTTATGGCCTCAAAAAAAAAAAATCCTTTCCGCGAAAGAATCGAGGAGATGCAGAACCGCTTCGCACTAAGTCTGTTGAGCCTCGAAGAGATTATGTTAAAAAAATAAAGAAAAACGAATCACATTCATTTTGTTTTTATTTTCCCCTCGGACACTTTTTAATCTACCATAAAGCATTGACTGGGGCAGTCAATCAATCTACCCTTGTATATTAAAGTAAAAAGCATTGCTTGGTACAGTCAATAATTATTCCACATAGCTGTTAAAACAACTTCGCTAAAGCTTTCACGCACAGCAACCGCAGCACCTCACAGCACACCCTTTTTACACCCTTCGAAAACGAAGGGTGTTCCACGGAACGCCAGCCTAATTTACGATGAAAGGTTGTACTCAGAATAAGGGTGCTGAAAGGGTGTAGTCTAGGCGCAAGTGTTTGGACAGTTTTTAGACACTCAAGGGTGGAAAAAGTAAAAATTAGTGTGTATGGGCCATGTGTGTGTGTGTGTGTACGTTGTAAAAGGAAATTGGGGGGGGGGGGGGGGGGGGGGGGGGGAGTGAGCGCCTATTGTGTATGCGCAGAGGGCACATTTGTCATGCAGTCTTTATTTTCCACAAGCCCACAGTTACATTATTCGTGACGGCTACAGCCTTTCATTGTTGGTAAGCGGAGCAATTAGATGCTGTGTGACTGGTACAAAATAGTTTTTTTTTTTTATTTATACATACTGCGAGCCATAATTGTGCAAAGCGGGAAGGAAAACACATGAATGAACACACCTAATATAAACACGAAGACAAAGCTGGAATATGCGAGCTTCGGTTTAATTGGGGAGTTGTAAGCTAACAACCTGACATCAAAGGGGGAATTCCTAAGTTTATGGCGAAGAAAGCCGAGCTTTTGGCATGCTGCAGAACAAGTGCTTCGAATATGAGGTATATATGGACTCATCTACTCCAAGGATATTTGTATTATTAATGGTGTACAAAAACTAGAATGGTTCCTTTTATTAGTCATGCGCAGAAATATACTGTCTTGTCCGAGTTAAGTTTCATGAATGAGGTTCAAGGATTCCTGATCTTTATGGGAAGCATTATCTTAACTTGTATCTGGAAGTTGGTGACCCGAGCGAAATCGACGGTATCCAGCGGCAAGTGCAAAAAGCTGTGGCGGCAGGTTTGCACGCCAGCTGCGCCTGCAGCCTTCACGAGCGAATCAGATATTCACAGCGCCTGGTGGTCAAAAAGGAAACCTTGAAAGCTATGCGGAGAGCAAGCTTCGTCTGCTTCTTGCACTGGAGTTGTGGTGACGTCAGAAAGACTTCGAGCTTGGATTGGCTATGATTGAAAGGATAATCCCTCAATCCGATCCAATCAGAGCTCGGTGTGATTCTGACGTCACTACAACTCCCGCGCGATAAGCAGACGACTTGCTCAACTCTGGCGCGCTTCCATAGTTTACGCTGTCGCTCGGTCCAGCAGATTGTGACTGCTGTGGCTGTAAAAGGAAGCTCAAACTGTCCACACTGAAGTGAGCTGCTCAGGTCGGCAGCTGCCATAAACGCGTCAATCCGCGCCTCTTCTGAAAGTTAGGGTGTCAAGTTTCTGCGACTCGTTTCGATTTCTACTCCGGGCATATTGCTGATGAGACATTTAATGAAAACGGACCGATATATGATATGATTCTTTTTTTGATGTAATGAAAGTAAATATTTTTTTTACATGTTTGGAGGGCCGTTGGGAAGAAAATATTGGTGTGTACTTCATCATCAACACACGCGTCTTTGTCCGGTGCGTCAAGTCACAATTCCTAAACTAAGCGTAGCGTTGCATCAGCATTACTGCTTACTCGTATTAATGCAGATTAGGACGTTAAATATTGATATTAAAGTTCTTTCCCTAAACACAGCCCTGCATACACAGCCACGCATCACACTTACTCGATTACGAAACTGCATTTAGACGCCTCAGAATGGTGCTTCCTGGTATTTACCTTCAAGGCACACCGAAGTGGTGTGCCTTACCAAATCTAATGACTAATACTAAAAAAAAAAATTGCGAGTGTTTGTGCCACAGATGGCAAAAAGTCGGCGATTAGCCAACCATCATTGAACAGAACGGTGCACGTTAACATCATAAAATGATACGGGCGGGACAAGGGGAATAATTTATTACGTCGCAGTATGGACAACCAATCTAGTCCTTGTTTATTTCCGGAACGGTCTGGGCGACGCTTCCGCCCGGTGATCTCCGGAACCTCTGTTTATCACCGCACACCGCACCACCGCGGATGCGGGAGGGAAGATGGCGGCCATTTGCAAAACTCCATGAGAGTGTACCTCTCACACGCGCGCCTAACAGCTCCGACCGATCCACCGAGAGCAAACAAAAGAATCACAGATGGCCACACCGAGCACAGCCACCCTACACTGACATCCCCGAAATATAAAACTGACAAAACTGGTGCAATATTGTGTGATGAGCATGAATGCGCCATGCGGGGACCAAGGGTGCCGGGGCGCAAAGCACCCACCTACCGACATACCCGCTGCTATGAACCAATTGTTTTGACATATCACAATCTCACTGAAGTTATGGAGCTATCTGTGGAAAATATGCTGACGTGGCGAGCTCGGACGTCGAAATGGTTCTTGACAACTGACACCACGGCAGAAGCCGGATGGACGGCGCAGACGACACGAACAAAAAAACAAACAGTCGCGTCTGCTTACCTCGAGCCCTGCCGCGTCCTCCGCGGTTTGCACTGCCGCGGCCACGACCACGCGGTGGTGGTTCTCCACCGCTCGCCATGTTGTCTTCGATGCAATCAGGCAGTCAGTGTTCCCGCTGAAGCAAATTCTGGTCTTTTACGCAGGGCGTGCTATCGGTGACGCCGTGTTCGGGACCCGACCGTGGCGGACCCACGGACTGCCAAGACTACTCGATCAGTAGTGTCTGCGTGTCTCTCCGGCCGTTCTACTTTTGCTCTTTCCGTTGGAGGGGAGGGGAGCATATCTGAGGAGCCGCTCGAACAACATGGAGCTCACTTATATAAAAAAAAAAAAAGAACGGCTGCTTCTGAACTTTGCCGCGCCGTGCATCTGCAGCGCTAAATCCACGACTCCGAGGAGCCGCTATCCTAGCAGACGACGCGGGGAGTCCAGTTTAGCAGACGACGACTCAAGGTTGGCTCGGCCGCTCGACGACGTTCCTCAACTAAACACTTTAATGCATCTTTTTTATATATATATTGGGCAACTAATTTTATTGTGCGTGCGAGTAGTGGTTTGTATAAATAATATTTCTGACTCTACTGTAATTTTGCAGGAAGATGCCAAGTGGTGAAGAATGTGCAGGCGAGCTGGTGTAGTTGCAGAACTTGAGAGCAAGCAACGGGGGGGGGGGGGGGGGGGGGGGGGGGGGGGGGGCAATCGCTTTTTTTTTGTCTCTGTTTCTTGTAATGGCGGCACTCCCACCTTACCTACCCCCTCACAGCATTCTCCACCAGGCCAAGAAAAAGGCCAAATAACACACAAAAAAGCAGATGCTGCCCACAGCGCAAAAAGAAAATCGTGACTTTTTGCTATGGGCCATCAGCGCGAATACTCGATCGTTAGCTCATATAATGAACGCAGTACAGAACAAAATCGTTTATGTTGCATTCTTGGGAACTCACTTGATTTTCTGACAAAGGTCACAGAATCATTCCTTTCTCCGAAAACGTGCATATATTAAGTGGGCGCTCCTTCAAAAATTAACAACTTACCAAAGGAGTCACCATCCCACAAACGTCTCCGGTGCTGACAAAGGCACGGGAGCGAGCGCGGGGCTCTAGATAATTATCTAGGCTCGACTTTTCGCAAAAACACAAATATTATGACATGGTAATCCAGGAACGGAGAAAAAAACGGAAGGTACAACACAAAGCTAGTTCACACGTCTCTCGTCTGCACTTGCGAGATATGTGAGATGCATATCACTTTATAAAATCTCTCGCTTTGGTTTACCCTCTGGTTATCAAGACGTACACATGCAGGCCTTATAAATATAATGCAATTATAGCAAATATGCATGCAAGCTGGACAAGAATGACGATAGTAATCCCTAGAGAATGGGAACAAGGGACAAGCACAAATCTCCAAGCACAGCTAGGTGACTGGTGAGCGACCGAAAAAATCCGCCTGGTCCTGGTATCGAACCAGGGAGCTCTCCATTTCCAGTGGAGCGCACGAGTGCACTACCAACTGAGCTAGCCAAGAGTTAGACGCTCCCTGGTTCCATAGCAGGACCAGGCGGATTTTTTCGGTCGCTCGCCAGTTTCCTAACTGTGTTTGCAGATTCGTGTTTGTCCTTTGTCCCCCTTCTCCAGGGATTATTATCGTCATCCTTGTCCAGCTCGCTTGCACCTTTAAAATGCAGGCCTTTCACCCTTGTTGGTGTTAGAATGGCGGCAGCTGACAAAACCCGTTTGCTCTACTGATGTCTAACTCCCGGTTAGCTCAGTTGGTAGAGTGTTTCACTTGAAATGGAGAAAGCCCTGGTTCGACACCAAGACCAGGCGGATTTTTTCGGCCGCTCACCAGTCACCTAGATGTGTTTAGAGATTTGTGTTTGTCCTTCGTCCCCCTTGTTCCCCTTCTCCACGAATTATTATCGCCTTACAGGCCTAGTCTGGCATGGTCAGGGTCACCATGGCCTTCAACAGGGCCTTCACCAGTGGTCACCGGCTACATGGCCTACCTGCCGCGTGAGCCGCGTGAGGTACCAAAAAGACCACTTTCACTTTGAGGAAAACGCGGGAAACACAGGCACACTGGGTCGACACTAACTTTTTTTCGCCCACTAGGAGTTAGCGGAGAGTCTCGATTCTGGCCGTTCTGGCACTCCTGGTGCTAAACTTTGAATAAAAAAGAAATTCTACCGAAATAAGAGCTTAATTAAACAAATATGAACGGAACTTTTTAATTTAATGTTAACGTTAATTTTATTTTCCGCCTTTCCAGCTTTTCAGCCCTTCGGTGAAGCAAGCCGCGAGCCGGCGTGGTCGCGTGGTCGGGCAACACTGTGTATAGGAGCGTATTTTGCTGCGTCGCCGTTGTTACCGCCCGTGGTGTGTCAGTGCGGTGTGTTGTAAAAGCGAAGCATTCTCCAGTCTCAGGCGCAGTTCCCAAAGAAAGCAGTCAACATGATGATGGCCCAGTGTTTTCAAATCACGCCCGGTGTCCTCAAAACTGTCATACAGCCGGGCTTCGGCCCGAGACCCAACGTCGGCGACAACATCACCGTCCACTGCACAGGTCTTCTCACGAATCCGCCGAGGAAATTCTGGAGGTTGGTTCCCCCGGCTTCGCCGCACCGGCTCCCCTTTTACGAACCCGCGCTGCCTCGACCCGTGTGTGTATGCTACGTGCGCCTCGTTGGGAATAATTTGGCGCTGAATCGGGTCTAGTACGTTTTTAGGGGGAGAATGGAGGCGAGCGGTAAGCGGTCACCGTCGCTCGGAGAAGCCGCGGTGGCGGCGAAGCTTCGTGTCTGTCGCCGCTTTTGACAAGCAAGATGGCCGATGTTTTTTTCCCGGCCCAGCTCGCCGTAACCTGTTTTTTGTCTTTGAGTTGACACGGTTAGTACGCCGTGGCGCGTAAAAGAAAGCGGTCGGTAATCATTTTTCGGCGTCTATCTCTCCAATTACACCGAATTTGCAGCCGAAACGACGAGTGATTAAACCAAAATGGATTCTTGGCGACACGGTATTCCCTACTCTGGGCCGGCTAACGATTTGTGAACGTTTTTTTTTTTCTTCTTATTTTAATCGCCTCGGTGGCGTGTTTTCACGAACCTCGTGGCCGTGATTCGACTGTGCCTCGTTTGGTTTAATAGTGATTTTGTTTTTTTTTATCTCCCGTCACGTCAGTGTTCGATGACCTTTTGGCCTTGCGTGTCTGAAGGAAATAAAGTGCCATAAATGGTGTTTTAGCGTTGCGTCATAGCCGCATTCCTGGTTAGCTCCGCATTTTAACATCGTATTGCACGCTTGCACTCGCTGGGAACTTCTCCGTGCAACGCCGTCCGATTCGATTAACACGTGTTCGCTCTTTTCTGAAGCGGGCTATGTAATGGGTCCCCTACTTTTATCGTCTAAATTTGCTTAGTATCGGATTCTTGAACGATTTAAGTGAGATATCAGGTTGACGTCCATGCTTGTGCTGACTATAACTAGGTGTTGTGGCAGTTACAGCATGTTATTGGAGGCACGGTAACCATGTAAATACAACCCATCAAGAAAGACATTGTCTGTGTTTAGCAATCGTGTTTGTTGACACTTGCGTTAGGTTTGGTCCTTACTGGGATAACCCCCATACAAAGAGAGTCGCTCTTGGCACATCTAATTCGGGCAACGGCGAATGACTGATTGGGGATTAATTGAAGTGGTGAATCGCAGACCATTTCGAAGGTCTCTACGCTGCAAGCTGTGCTTCAAATGCCTTAAAAGACTTGTGATGTCGCTTGTGTCGTGAAGTGCACAGTATGCGGCAAACTGCGCAATGAAAGCTGCGACCCCAAGGGTTCAGTGGCGATAAGGAAAAAGAGCTAAGCGTGTTTAAACTGCCCTCAAGAAGAGCAGTATCTCTTATCATTCTTGCACCATAATAAGTTTGTTGAAGCACTAGAGCTTTTACTGTGAAGATTCTTCATTTTGTGTCACATAGAAGTCTTGGTACATCACTGAAATTCCCTATTTTCTTGGGAGGAAAAATGAGCCAAGTATTGGAATGTGGACATGTGAGCGTGTTTGTGGGCATATATAAAAATCGCAACGGGCTAGGTAATGATTTACCTTTCAACTGCAAGCTACAAAGGTTCTGTCATGGTTGATAATGCCGTATCGCACCTTTCTTTTACAAACGCACCTCAATTCGTTACCTCAGTTTCCTGTGGCGAGGTTCATCCCTTTAATCCCCCAATGGCCTTAATTTAGTTTGGTGCCTAAAGTTAATAATTTGGTGAGCAAAGTGTGGAGCATGTCTGCCGTTTCAGGGGCCGGAGAAACGCCTGCGTTATTTCGAGATGTCGCCGTTCGTTGCACCCGAGAGCGAAACATTGTCGGTACAGAGAAAAATGAAATTAAATGTTTATACAAAGAATCTTGCTAACAGTTCCAATTGTTGGGCGATTTGGTGGTGAATTTAAAAATACAGGGTAGCGCTTGAAGTCGCGGAAAACAAAAAAAGAACTAGACGTTACTGAGTGCTGGCTTTCAACTGTTTAGAAGATACGAAACTATTGGCGACGTGAGCGAATCAAAGCGTCACTGTGGTTGGCCTGCCACGATTGGCCAAATGCTGACTATGACATCAGCAGAGGTTTTCTCATCGACGGAAACAAGAGGAATGTATGAACCTCAGTTTTGACTAGTGATGGACCGAATCTGCCGAACTTCAGATTCGGCAAAGTTCAGCAGATGCCAAACTTTTGAACGAAAGTTCGGAAAACATTCGGCAAATGTCTGCGCACGCGCAAGAATGCGACGGGGCCGTGGATTGCAAATGGACGCCGTGCAGTCGTGCGGTTACTATCGTGCGGTGCATGGTGGTGCATCGAAGTACCACCAGCGGTTATGGCGAGGTGTGGAGTGAGCAGGCAACACGGTAACTGCATTTGTGAGCGAGCGTGGTTCTCTTCAATATCCTCTGCCTCAAGAGTAGAAGTTCGACCAGTAATTTACGCAGTCCACTGCGCAAGTAACAGATGATGCGGTACATTCTGGATGACGTGATTTTCATTTGACATTTCCAGTGATGCAACGAGTTAGTTGAAACATTGGCCGACAATTAATTTAAAGGACTCCTCGCAAATATAACAATTCTGTTTCCGGCTCGGAAGTAATGTGTGCCAAAACAAAATATTGCTTTTTCAATTAGCGTTTTTTCGCGATTTTCCCGTATCTGCATCAAACTGAACATAGAACTATAATGGTCATATGTTGGACATCCAACGTTCCTAACTTTCCCTATCTTTCTAAACGTTTGTGTGTCCTAACACCAGAAACTGGCATTTTAAAGGTGAAAAACGAGATGTTGCTAATATGGGACGAACACCCTCTTGCAAAGCTGACGTCAAATGACTCAAATTGAAAAACATGCATATTTACAATAATATATTATCTCTTCTGGTTAAGGCTCGGCAACCATTGCATTAGTTTTCGCACACAGAACGGTGAGTCTCGGAGAAAGCAAGAACGCAGCGTTATTGCCCTCATTTTAACAATAGCGTGATTTGTGACTGCGCCACGCTTGCTTCTACCCTCTATGCTTCTACCCAACCACGCCACTTCTGCAAGGTGTCACTAAATTTGCCAGTGAACACACAAAAACGACACCGATACAATTATATTGTAGAATATCACCTTATTTAATAATAACTGTGTCAATATGCATTACATGTTGTATTTAAGTTAGGAGAAAAGAAACAAAACCTTTTTTTGCCAGAAATTTCAATGTAAGTTAGGTAACAATGTATTTTTGCTGAATCTCTAGAAAAGTTCGGCAAAAGTTTGGCTTTGACGAATCCCAAGATTTGGCGCCGAACTTTCGATTCGGCAAAAGTTTGGCCCATCACTAGTTCTGACGGTGTTGGCAAAGTTGATTTCAGAGTGCTATGATTTCAAGCTTCCAACGTGCTCATTACTAACACCATCGAACTTGTTGTTTGCAAGGTCATGACGTCACGACTGGGAACTACACGAGGGCACCATTGTAACATCTCGCCGCTAATACACATTGTGCCACTGCGCTGCTCTCCGTCAATCCGGTGCTCCGCCTCGCCAGGACACAATTTCCTTGACTGCAAGTTAATAGAGGTTCTTTAAGTTCGATTAGGGTCTTTCAGCTTGCACAACTTGACTAGCTTGTCTAATGCTAGGAGTTGGCGAGTCGTGCTTGTGCTGTATGCGTGGTGCCGACCCACGTTTTTTTGCTGTAAGAGTTGCCGCATGTGGTACTACGACTGCTGCGGGTCACAATGCCGTTGGCCAGATTCTTGCGGCTCGGTACCGTGAAGCTTTACATGTGGTACCAACACGGTTATCTCCTTGATGTTGGGGTGGCAGAGGTACAGACGTTGTAGCAATCTGATGAAAGCTGGGGTGCCCGTCTAACAGTTGCCTTTTTTGTTGTGCAGCACAAGAGATCCTGGACAGCAGCCGTTCTCCTTCCGGGTTGGCGTTGGCGAAGTGATCAGAGGTTCGTTCCGAGCTCTCTTCCCCTCGCCTTCAGAGTCGACTTCCACTGTGTGTGTGCGCGAGCAGTGGGCAGATGGGAGGAAAACATTTTGTTCACAAACTTTCGAGGCCGGTTCGCACATTTGCATCTGACCGGCTGTTTACGTCAAAGAACACGCTGACCTGGAACAATCCCAGTGGTGTGATTGCTGCGCCAAACTGCGCCAGGGGACCTGCTACATCCTGCTACATTTTGCCGAAATAAGAGTAATCTGCGCCAAAGGACCAGTTTTGGTCGCTTTTCGAAACCGAAACTAAACTGAGTACCATAATTGAGCATGCGTGAGCTAGGTGGCGCAAGCGGCCGCCCGACACAAAGTATGCTGCATCAATGGCCCATTCGGTCTTGCATGGTTTTTCCCACAGTCTTTCGTTTTGCGCTCTCGTCGTCTCGTAAGCCTGGGTTCGCTTCTTTTTAAAACTTTTTCAACGATAGATGCGGGCATCTGTGGATGCTCTGACGGGAGCGTACCGGGTAAAAGGCCAGTCATGCCGTCATACTGTGAAACGAAACCGCGTTTTTGTGCGGCGGGAGTTACTTTGTGAGCTGAAGCACTCTCTCCTGAAAACAACGGCCGTTGGAAAACTATTTTTTGTCTCTGCCTGCCAGTCACAATGGTCTTGCAACGTCGGGCGTTGCCGTCCCTACGTCGCTGCAAATGTGGCGCTTTCTAAACTGAAATGTAAGGACTGCCGTGTGTTCATCAACATTCCTGTTCTTTTTTAAATCATGCGCTACTACAAGAACCCCTCTTTAACTCAGTTTGCTGTGTTGAAGAATTGATTACTTAGGTTCCTCTTGGTAGGTTTGTTTTCGAGAGGGACCCCTGTACGTGAAAAATCTCCCACGGAAGAAAGTGGGTGAAGAGAAGTGAGCTAAAACAAAGGCAATGTATGCACGCTGAACCCGCAGAGCGCGCTTGTTTGTCTCGAGTTCAGCCGTTGCACAAAGAGCTCCAAGAGCTTTTTGACCCTGGCTCGTGATGTCTTGCATTGAAGCACTCAGGTTCTGTTTTTGTGTGTGTTTAGCATGTACCTTGTTTGCCCGCCTGGCAAGCACGTGCCGCTTGACGTTTTTGTCGTATGCTGGACAGTTGCATTTTGCATACAGTTCTGGGAACAAGTTGGCAACGAAGCGGAGTGGCATGGTTTTGGTCGAACAGCCATCTCCGCTCACGCGACGAAGCATGTGCAACTGCAAGCCTGCCGAAGTCTCCCTCATGTGCATGCGAATATAACTGCATGGCAGAGGCACCGCCTGGGACGCTTGTGTTTGCTTACTTTTGACGAAAATCTGGTGCGTCGAGAACCAGTGAAATGGCAGCAAGCGGTTTTTCGGAATTGCTCGGCAACGCCTAGAGCACTGTACACTTATGGGATGTCTCAATGTCTCTTTGGAGACATTGAAAGTTGACATTCATTACTAGCCGAAGGCAAAGCGAGGCTTGGAGCAGCGTTTCAGAAACTGTCGAAAAGCGAAAAGAAAAGCACCCGCTAAGACTCGTAATGCACCTTTGTCTTGTGTACAATTTTGCATTGCTCTGCAGTAGTTTCGTGTTTCATCAGTCAGACTGCTTCCATTTATTATATTATATAACTAGTCAACCTATACTGCTGTGATATTTACTACTAAGCTGGTCATATTCAAATAAATTTTAATATGGGCAGTTTGGTTCTTGTTTATCTGTAGTGGGTACATATATATGTATAATTTAACTGAAGCACTGCAAAATGTGTCATGTCATTGGCATTTCAGTTACATGTTGAAAGACTTCCAGGTAATCTAGCTGGACCCTAATTTGTTTATTGCGGCGGGCACATTGCCCTTCGTTTGTCCAGCACTGCAAACAAATATTTTTATTTTTCTAAGGTCTTCTCTGACAGCCACTTTTTCCGCTCCGAAATACTGTCTTGGCTGCTCCAAAAGCCACTTTAGCTGCTCCAAAACACTGTTTTGGCTGAGGTGCTCCAAAACGGGTTAGGCCAATCACATCATTGTTGAAGTGACTGCGAAGGTTTTTTGACCTCTTGGGGCGGTGACTTCGTGTGGTGCGGGAAGTCCATTAGAAAGTGTACATTTCTGGACCGTGCAGCTCCCACGTAAATGTGCAATCGTAGATTGCCGAGGGTGCAGACTGCAGTGAAACGTTGAAAAGGAAAGGTTTGGTGCAGTGTTCAGGCAGTGACGAGTGTTGTTCAGGCTAGACGCTATACTTAGGTTAAGGGCAACTCTGGCAGTGGAGCCGAAGCCATGGGTGCCCGTGCGCCTGCACACCTTGAGCACCAATGAAAGCTGCGCATGCGGGCGCTTCGCTACTTCTAAATCGCCACAAAACGTTGGCCCCGAGTACGGCGACATCTCTCCAGGTGTGTGCGGGCGAGCGGTGTTCAATGCAGGCTCGGAGATGCACGTCTTTTTTCAGGGCAGTTTGGGACTTTGCTGCATTGCGCAGTCACGGAAATGCCAACAGGCTCGGGATATAGATCTATTTATTTGAGGTGGCAGGAGAACATTAGTGGTTAACAACATTTGTCTTGCGTACCGTCAATGTTGATGGTTTCATCATTCTACCGAAATTAAAGCGATTTTGGTAGCACACTGACTTGAACTTAGTGTGCTACCAAAATTGGTTTTGTTTCTCGGTTAGCAGGTTACGTGTTAAATCTACGAAAGTTGAGCGATTTGGGAATTTAATGGTGACCTAGATTTCATGAACTGTAAAGAATTGGGGGGAAAAATAGATTGTGCCAATTAATTGCCCCATTAACCCACTTAATTCGCGGAGGAATCTGCTTCTTTGTATGCGTAATTGTAGTCATGCAAAACTCTGGAGAAATGCAGCACTTTGGCTGACTTTGTAAGCTGTGCTTGTGAATGTGTTGTTCTTTAGGGTAAAGGCTTCACACACTTGGGACTGCTTAGAACCGAGGATATGAAAACCTGTTAAGATCTCTTGCGACACACAAACACACTGGCACGACGCTGGCAACGGAGCTGAATTTCACTAGAGCGAAGGTTTTGCGGTATTTGCGCGGTGGAATGTATGTACTAACCGTGCCCAGGAGGAATGGTCGTTTATAACATTGACAAGTTTTATAAGCCATTAAAAAAAAGAATGATGCGCAAAAAAGAAAATATACGGGGGACCGCCAAGTCTTCCATGGCTACCCAAAGTCTCCTCTCGCCTCAAAAGATTTTAAGGGGTTTTAAGGCACACGGTCCCAAGAAGTCACAAGTGTGTGAATGGGCCTTAAGATGGAAGGACTGTTGACAGTTGTGACTGTTTAGATACCATGTTTGCCAACAAGCGTGTAGATATGGCTGGCCAGATTTTTCGTGATGGTTTTGCGACGTGTCAACAATGTTATCACAATGTTCTCGCAACGTTCGATGCAGGATGGGACGAAGGCTGCCTCTCCATGCAGAAGAATGAGGTGTCTAGGCTCACGGTGTGCGGCCAGAAAGCTTACGGAGCGCAAGGCTTCCCTGCGTGGGGATATCCTTTTTTGCCCCTCTTGTGATCAGCGCCATCTCTGCTGGTGCCTCTGGCATGCTTTGTTGCACTCGGGGTGTCTGGTGACTGGGAAAACCGGGAATTGTCAGGGAAATTTTAATTACCGGGAAAAATAGGGGAAATGTTGTCAAAAAGCGAGCCTAGTCAGGGAAAATGAGCCAGAAACAGGGGACTTGGGGGTGGAAAATAGGCAATAAATTCTGCTTAGAGTGGAGCGCGGGCTTTGCTTCTCCTGTGTAGTGTGCTACCCGATGCAAAGGGGACAGCTGACAAATCCAGTCCAAGCCTCGGATTGGATTGAATTGAGGGTGCGACACTACGCTGGATCCAGTTAGAGCTACTAGATTTAGTAACAAATGGATAAGTCGCAGACCCCAATCCAAGCCTTAAGCCGAAAGTATCCGAAAATGTGCGTCTGGCGGCCATGCTATGTGTGGTTGAGCGTCGTGTTTTCATCATGTTTCCGGAAGTGGTCTCTTCACTGACAATGTCGGCGGCAAGAAAGTGCTCGTTTAATCAGGACTGGACAAACCCGAATATTTTGGCATATGCTAGTTGGATTAAGCCCGTGTAAAATGATCCTCACAGTGCTCAATGCCTTGTGTTGTAATGGTCGTATATATTTAACTGCCTCTACAATGGTCAGGAAATTGCATCTGAAACTGTCGGGGAAAACCTGAAAAAGTCGGAATTTCAGAATAATAATTTGCTAAACACTCTGTGCACTGTATTAAAATAGGCCTTTTTGCTCAGCTACCCAGGCACCAAGAGTCGTGCCGCGAGTGTAGAGTCGGCGACGAGCTAAGAATTCAATAAAAGCTTCGCATCTAATACGCGCTAGTTGCATACCCCGGGTTTTGAATGCATGTGCGACGAAGTGTTACGAAAGGCAGAAAGCTCCTGTCGGCGACGGATGCTCCACCTTGGACCATAGTTACGTGCGCCACACATGCTGGCGTTCAGCATTTATTTGGTGCACTCTGAACTTTTACCCAAACGTAGCATCTCAATCGCTTCAGATGTCAAGTCGTCTTGGCGTTGCCTCTCGTTCCTTAACTGAGCCATCACGATCCCCCCCAATGCGGACCTGCAGTTCGAGATCCAGATCCTGGCCATCAACGGCATGTGAGGAGGGGCACAGGCGTCCTCCCCCGGCGGCGCTCTGGCGGCGAGGCGGGGCCACAGGCGGCGGTGCTGCTGCGCGACGTCCGTGTACTCCTCCCCCTTTGCTGTAAGGACTCCTTTTTTATCTGCAACGTCCACCTTGTGACCATTAAAAAAAGAGTTGCAGCTCAATTCTCCTCCCCACGCCCGCCTCCACGACTCCTCGCTTCCGACGCACACGACGGATGCCGACCCTTCCCGAAAGTTCGCGCCTCCTCAAGCCGCGATGTGTTCGCGGCTTGAGCCGACGGTGCGGGAGGACCTACGTGCTCGTGAGATCTATCGACAGCCTTGCCCCTGTTCTTGGCGCGCGATCGCACGACGAAAGGTAGGCGTACGATTGGGCCAACGAGAAAGCGGCTCCCACCGCACTGTCTGCTTACGCTTCGACGAGCGAAGTACAGTCGTACGTGATCGGCACCTCCTAATTGGGCTGTAGTGCTGGGTTTTCTGCGTCTCCTGCCGGAGACTGGCGCAGGTCACAGATTTGACGTGCTGCGTCAACATTTGGCTCGCGTTTAGCTGGCTAGGAGTCCCAATCGAATGCCGACCCGTGTCCAATGTGTTTAGCACCAGCCTCTGCTTGGCGACATGGAAAGTCCAGTACTACAACCCTGTTATCCAGGTGTTGGCAGTCGTGCCGCGAGCCAGGACGTTTCGACGCGGAACGCGTGACTTTCGGAAAGGGTCGGTTCCTACGAGTTCCCCTCTTTTGAACCCTTCGTGGGCTGATGTGGCACATGCGTGTAAGAGTGCGCAATCTTATGCCAGGGTCCATGCTTTTCGAACCTGCGACAAACCCTCGGGTGGTGGAACATGTACATGGGGAAACAATCTAGGCACATATGCAGTAAGGCTTCAATGTTCCGCGGTAGACGTCTTCAGGATCGTGACAAATGTCGGGCTCGTAGAAGCGTTAGGAAAGTAAGGTCCAAACTCTCTAGAGTAATGACTAATAGATGTCGGAATCACTACCACTGGCTCCAAGATTTCTAGGTTTGCCATGACCTCTGGTCTCCGCCCAGTTGTCAAAACACTCAACCCCTAGGTATTGCTTGGAATTGCTAGTCCTCCACCTTCCTAGGCCTAGCCTGTAGGCGTAGAGATGCAGGGGACTGCAATTATTGAACCACTAACACCGCAGTCCCCAGGACGTTGTTGCTGCTTTTCTGTGGAAACTTCCCTTTCTTGCAGAAACAAGCTAGTCTAGTATAGGTAGGCTTCCATCAGCATGAAGCATAGATCTTTGGATTTATGGCAGAGAGGTGCAGTACTTGCTTGCAGATGCAGATATGTAGTCGGTTAGACACCTTGGTTAGGCAGTAGCATGTGCGGAACTTGTTAGAAGATAACTATCAATTGACAAGTTGTGCAGCATACAAGGAACGTGATTGATAAGCTCTGCAACTATCGAGGTTCATAAAAAAAATGTATTAACATCAATTTGAGTTCCGTAGTATGCATAGAAACCAGACAATTCGCCAAGCTTTGCTACCATGAGGGTTTGCCATTATGTAAAATGGATGTCTGGTTATATATAAACATTTATTTTGGAGAAAATCAAACTGGAGGCAAAATACTTTTCAAAACAATGTACAGATTACAATGCAGTTAGTGCAAGCGCGCGGTTCTGGGTTTTCTTCTTAGAACTAAAAGGCTGTCATCCAAACTGCTAATGCGGCAGAAGGAGTTTATTTGGGGGACCGTCCTAAGTGGTAAAGTTTGGTGCTTGTGTAAGATGCGAAAAAGCAACAATGGTTATGTTTTGCAGTGTACAGCCTTTGCATAGAAACTTGTTTTTTGCTTTCGCATAGCCACTGGGACCACGTCTCCAAAGTATCTTTATTTGGCAGGGATTAGAAAATTGCTTTCTACATCTTGGTTAGAAATATAGTATTGCACAAACATTTGACTAGCATTTCGTGTAGAGGCCAAATGACTCCAGCATAAAAAATTTAAAAACTGTTTATGCCTTTTTTTTTTTTGCACTCTATCAATTGATTTTTGCGTCACTGCCTTCACCAGGCTTCTACTCTGTGTGCTAGCTTGTGTGGCAAGATGGAAGGCTAGTCTACCACGACAGCTGGCAAAAAACTGCCAACCTTTGCCAGAAGCTGGCCTTTGGTCTTGCCTGGCAATGAGTCTATTGGGAGAGAGCACTGTTCGGTGACTGCCATGATGCACCACACTAAATAGGCTCAACTAGGGTGTAAAGCGGCCCTCCTTTAAATATGTCGACGAGCAATGAGCAGACTAAATATTTTAAGATGTGAAAGCCCCCAAATCGACACTTTCCATCACTTCAGGTGCTTGTGTTAAGAACTCGCTGTGTTGCTCTTGCTTATGATATTGTTGACTTGTGCACAAGACAGCACAATAAACCTATACTTCGTCTCACCCTACGATGGACTAAAGGCAGAAGCTACGGACCGCCAGATCCAATCACGAGCCTCTTACAAGTTGCGTGGTATTTTGCTTTGATGCGCATATCGGCACCGCGTCTCGAATCGCTAATGGGGAGGGGCGGAGGGTAGTTTGGATTGAATAGCACTGAGTGACTCGGCAATTTTACATTGCAAGAAAAAGCTATGTCATACAGGCTCTTTGCAGTGTCGAAGCTATAAAAATGATGCCGCGCTTTTGGACTCTGAGGATCATTTGTCCACCCCTAACCAATGCTAAGCATGTCATATTTTAGCTTGCAACGTGATTGGACCTTGCGGCCCGTGGCTTTGGCCTTTAGTCCATCGTAGGATGAGACAAAGTATAGTGTGCATGCAATGTGAGGGCACTCTGCATGTAACATTTTTTGATCAACTGCTCCACAGCTTTTTTTTTTTTTTTTCTTTCCATTTTTTAAGGAGCGCCAAAAAGAAGGGAATGATGAAAATGAAGCCGTTTTCATATTTCCCAGCTCGCGGGAACAGTCTCTCTATGCCACTTGGACACGTGACTAGGTCCGCATTCTACGGCAAAAACCAACTTTGTGCTACAGCGTGGTCGAGTAATCTCTTTAGCATGATGCATGTTAAAGGACTTCAGGATAGCAGCCCGTTCGCGCTGGCTAAATACTGGAGCATCGTCGTATCTCGAGGCTAGACCGACCTCGACATCTCGTAGCATTAACATTCATAGCGTCCCATTTGGCTTTTTGCGGCAGCAAAGGCAAAACATGTTAAGTCGCCGCAACATGCGGAAGCACATACTCCCGCAAAATGCTTTGCACAAGAGCTTGCTCAGGCAAAACGCTCTTAGGGCCATGCAAAACTTGTGGGGCACAGCATAGTCATGATGTGCCCCCAATGAAAGTGCTGAGCACCCAATGGCGCACCTCTAAATATGTCTTCCCTGGGTTCCGGACTGCGGAGGTGCCGAACAGAAGTGTCGTTTGCGGTTTCACCTCGTCGATTGCTTTCTCCCAATAGACGTCCCCCTTCCCTTCCCAGAGTGTGTAGAATGCATCTCTGACAGATGTGCTTAGCATCTTTGACTGCACTCACTCAATGCTGTTGGATGTAGCGACCCCGGCAGTTAGTCGTATCAGTCCCGGCAAAACATAAAAGCGGATGAGTCTCGCCGTCGTCATGGCTGCCTTCCAGCTTGTAGGTGCTTCTTAGAGGGTCACTCAAGTGGATTCTGAGATCGTCTTTTTTATTGTCATAGCCCAATCTACGGGCTCTAAGCACCCTAAAAAGCCCGCATCTACATTCAAGAGCGGCCAATTTCCCTAGTACAAGTCCAATCAAAGATAGTGCCACGGCCCTCCTTCTGCGCCGTGGCGCAGGACACCAGGGAGTGCCACGGAAAGGGAAGACAGCAGGGGAGGGCACGCGACAGCCAATCATGAGTGGCGGTTTCCCGGCGAACTAATTTTTCGAAGGCGTGCATATTTGAAAATTGAGTCCGCCGGTAAACTGTCCCCCTGATTGGCTGTCGCCTGCCCTTACCTGCTGCCTTCCTGTCAGGTGCCGCCTGCTGGTGTTCTGCGCCACGGTGCAGGAAAGGGAGGATAGCCCAATCTTTGATTCAATTTTTAATAGAGAGATCGGCCGCCCTTGAATGTAATTTCGGGTTTTTTTAGGATGCTTAGACCCTATAGATCGAGTTATGACGGTAAATAGACAATCTCGGAATCCACTTGAGTGCCCCTTTTAAGTTTCCATTGGCCGTCGAGTTGGAGGGCGGCTTCTGGCGGGACAGGCGTCTCCCTCATCTACCTCTTCTGCCGTGCCACTGCCAGGGTTGCAGACAACAGCCCGACACTTCTTCGACGTCGTCGTGCTGAAATCGGGGTAATATAAATCGGGACAAGTTTCAGGCACCACTCCCCAGCCGAACAATCGGTGGTGCAAAAAAAAAAAAAAAAAGAAAGGCTTTGGCTTTGCAGACGAGTGTTGAGTTGCATCTGCAGCACAGTCTTGTCGGCGGCGGGTAGTGTCCCCCGGCAGGAGCGGGCGTCAGGCGATGATTGCCTTAGCAGACGCCCCGTCGGCTGGATGGCAGACGTAAAATGTGGGTTGTCCTTTGTAGTGGGCCTGTGCGGGAGACACGCAGAGCGAAACGGGCTCAGCCTCGGCTCACCCAGGTATGGCGACTCTGGTTTGCTGCTAGCCGCCCACCCCACTCCCAAATGTGTGTGTGTGTGTTAGTGCGTGTGTGTGCCATGGCAGATTAGCGTGCAGCCTCAGAGTTAAAGTGTCTGGCAAAAAGATCTGGGCCGGCTCGCTGGAAGCAGTCCTGGCTGCGACTTTGTTAAGGAAAGCGCTGCCAAGGCCAGCCGACGGGCGGATTGGCGCCTAAATAAAGTCTGGTCTCGAGCGCTCGTGTGCCGTGGGCTTGGCAGGCTTTCTTTCATGCAGTTTTGGCCAAAACGCTGTTTCCAGGAAAGCCCGCCTTGGTGTTCCTCTGCAACGAGAGGTGCTAAGCCGAGCGGGAAGGTGGGCTGTAGCTTTTTGCTGGCTATCGTAACCAAACATTTTTTTAAAGTTGCTCGTTGGTTGCTGCAATAATTAAAAAAAAAAAAAAAAAAAAAAAAACTGCAAGTTTGAAATTGTTAAAGTTAAGCTTGGTGCTGTCTGATATAAGTGCAACTTCCATAGTATTGGAACGCAAGGACAACAATTTTGCTCAATGCACATTCGGCATTAGATCGTTTTTTTTATTTTGTGAGCAACAATCTTCAAAAACAAAAGGGCGCTGATAGCTGCTGCTTTTTTTCTGAAAAAAAAAAAAAAAAAAATGTGGTCATACTAAGTGACATAGCAAAACAATTTTAAGAATTCACGAATGGAGCTTCTCTTGTGGTCCTTGCGTTACAGCAGACTAAGTAGTAAATGGCGCTGCTAGGAGACTATATTCTGTTCTACAACCACACATTGCTGTTGGACAGAGCATTCATCATCTTCATTTATTTTTCTTGAGGGCCTGTGGGGCATTATACAAGGGTGTAAACACGAATATAACTCCGCAAGCTAGTTAGCCAAGTTATATAGAAACAGGGTAATGAATTCAACAAATTTAGTAGTATAATTTACAGAAACAATATTGAAGTCGCTTTTCTGGCAAATCGCTGTCACAGGAAGAGAAATTTTGTTTTTATATAATGCATGTGCACTTTTCAATCATTGTATGTGTTCTTTCATAAGGACTTAATTTCAAATGCATGCTGAATAAGCAGGTGGCTCGGCTGTAGCTTGTTCTTTCCAACAGAAACATGAATGCATGGAGCAGATGGGGTGCTATTCATAACCTAAAGACTCGTTTAAATTTATTTTAACAATCCTAATTTTAACTTCAGCTTGTCCCCTGCACTCCCTGCAGATTTGTTGAAGGATGTTTTATTGGCTTGATTCACGATGTGCTTTTATAAATGCCTGGCTTGGTTTTGTACAAAGCCTTCCAATTGGTGCAGCAGGCAATGTATACTTAGGTTAAAAGAAAGCATAGTTTCCCTAAACATTCCTGCGGTAATGGGGTTTCAGTCAATGAAACATCTTGACTGAATCCTACAGGACCTTCACTGGCTAGCTTTGCCACCGAAATATACTTTACATTTATAATATAGTGCCATTAAAGGGTCAGTGCAACGATTCTAACGTTGAAAGAATTAGCTGTTTGTGTTTTTGACATTGTTTATCTAGGCAAAAGTGAGCAAAAATGTACCACCTTTTCCCAAAAGAATCTTATTCCGCCGCGTAATTGCAAAAGAAAAAACAAATTATTTGCCGATTTGCATCCGCGCGTGGCGGTTACGGGAACTATGGTGGCATGTCACTGGGGTACACGCGGATGTCAATAAAACTTCTCCCCCTCTGCTGCTACACTCGCCGTCAGCCCCGTGGCAAACACTTTTGTGTCGATCGCTCGCCTTAACGTTTGGCGATTCTAATCCTTGAAGAGCCGACAATCGCGGAGGCTGGGGTCACTCGAAAGACTGCATGAGAGTTGAGGGGAACTTTGACCTTCGATTTGTTTAAATTTTTTAAAATAAGAACTTAATAAGCTTAGTTTACCGTTCTTCGTTCTATAGGTGACGCAGGTCAATTTCCGCAGTTAATTGGCCAGAGTTAGAAAATCGTTGCACCGCCCGTTTAATTCTTGGTAGATTGTAGTGAGCCGAAGTTATTTATAAAGCTAGTTAAATTTGAAATGCTATACATTAAAGCAGATCTCGCCTACGTGGCATCTACTGGATATTTACAAGCTCTGCATTTGCTGCTCAAATGCACAATGTGCAGGTTGTGGCTTCCGGTACATTTTGAAGTTGTGCTGGAATGAAAATTTTACTCTAGAATGCCCTAAAAAAATTAACCTTATTTGTGCAGTAACATTGAACGGTATACCAAGCGAACCGAGCAAACAGTTTGTCGAACTTCCAGTTGACACAGCTGCAGCGTATAGCTTCGAGCTTTTCCCGAGAATTTCAGACTTGGCACTGAACCCTTCGAGCACTGCTTGATTGCATGGGTGGCATTAGAGCCGCTAAATAAGCTAAGTTTCAGAGTAATGACACTGCAGCCATCTTGGTGCTTAAAACCGTGGTTGCCACTTATCTGAAGCTTTATGTGAAATCCCAGCAAATGTTTTTTCCGTCCTCTAGAAATGTTTGCAACAGAGCAAAACAATATCATCTGAGAGTCCTACCACTGTGTGTAAAGCTGACGAAGTCTCATTTTTGTATGGTGACAATCGACAGTTGAGTCTGCTCTGCGCTAAGCACAAAGATGGTGGCGCCCACTAGCAGATCGGGGAACGGGGGTACCAATACTCTGAGCGTAGCTCATTTAGTGGCTCTAGGTGGCACAGAGTTCCATGGGTGCATGAAATGAGAAACACCAGCTAAAGGATATGGCTCGCTCCTTGCATTACATGCAGCTTAACACCTCCTAAAAAGGTGCAAAAATGTGTACTAGCACTTGTTGGGGGTCACATCCGTGTTGGCTAAATCGGAGGATTCGTTCTGATTCTAAGCTTTGCAAGGGTTGCCTGAATCTGACAAGATAATATAGTGCACATACACTTGGAAAAAAAAAAATTTTTCAAGAAGGTTTTAGGATTATATTGGAAAAGCCTACGCGGCACTAAAATAAAACATTGAAAGCTCGCCGCGTTCGATATGTCGATTATGAAGGGTTAGCATGACTAAACAAAAGCAACATGCAGAAAACTGTGAGGTAATTTGAGGAAGCAAGGAGTACAGAGCTACATGCAGTGTGTGTGTGTGTACCCTGTTAAGCTGCAGCAGTTGACGTCCAAGGTACGTATGGTTTGTGGCCGGTGCTATCTTTTTGGGGGCGAGTCTTTATGGAGGGATTGTGCATGCACTTTCTCCACATGGCCAGTTTCAGTGCTTTGCATCGAACACGCCACCGGAGTGGTCAACTGGTTCTGCAGAACGACTGCCTTCGGCCAACGTTTTTTTCTCCCTTGGTCAACGAGATTGTTCTTCTAAGGTGCGCACATTCTTCTTGAGAGCAATAAAGAGGGAGCTCGTTTGACCGACTTGCTCTTGTCTTATGTTTCTGTTTTGGCCTTTTGTTTCGAAACAAACTTGCGGTAAATATAACCTGTTGTAGGAGAGCGTTAACCTTACGATCTTCACGATTGTGTATCTTTACTAGACAATATGAGCTGCAACACTCAACCTGACCCCTTTTGCTACGTCTGCGGCCCTCACAAACTTTGGTAATTTCTCAATTTGTGAGACATTCAGAGGCTAGAACATAAGCTTTGCGTTCTAGTCCTAGTCAGGAACAGAGCATCTTTAGAAAGTGGTAACTATTCACAACTTTTGCAACCTGGGAGAGGGGGGGGGGGGGGGGGGGGGGGGGGTGCAATGGCATCGAAATGGCCGTCGTCTAGATGACTGATGTGAAACAGCGGAGGTTAGGTTGGGTTTGTGACACCCAAGTAATTCTCCTTTTGCCAAATGCGAGCGGTATTTCTACATTATGTTAAAATACGAGGAAGGTGTAAGCAAACATTTTTATTGTGAAGCCAACCATCCACAAACTATAGTCCCTGTCACTAGTTGCATGCAGTACAGGAGAGGGAAGAAAGGGAAAACACTAGGAAGGCTGGGGAGGAGAGAGGTCGCCTCTCCACTCTAACGTTAGTAGTGCTCTCCCTTTGGTCCTATCGTCCTCCATTACCCTTTTCCATCCCGCCTCCCTGGTGCTCACCCTTTCTCTCTTCGCCTGGCATTGTCTTTGCCTGCACTGCACACTACCAGTGACAGGGATTATAAGTAACAAGATTCTCACACCGCAGTTGCACCGTTGCTGAAAATTTAGAATGCCTGAGAAGCATGGAGAGCTGTTCACATTCATACTGTCTGCAATGGTACGGTTCAACATAGTATTGAACTCTGGTCTGGAATTCTACAATTCAAGCTGATGTCCATCCAGCAGTTCAGATAGGGAAGTACCGTATTTTCCGGGCTATAGCCCACGAACTATGCATGTTTAAAAGTTTAATTTTAGGCTGTGCGGACTATGCAGGAATTTTGTAGTTCACTATGACAAGATGGGACGGATTCTGTGAATGAAAGAGTATGTTAATGATGATTAATGTATAATACAAGCTTCTTTGTGCTATGAAAGCAGACATTTGTCAAGGTGTGGCGTGTATGAGATTTTCGTGTCGACTAACCACAAGGTGCAGACTACACGCCGCATGGATTATGCACAGAGTGCGGACTATAGCCCGGAAATTACGGTATTTGTATGCAGGAATTTTGAGCAGTCTTTTGTCTGTTTTGCGGTGGTGTTTTATTGGCACATGTATGTTTCGTAATGAGCAGGACCCGAAAGTCCGTGATGACTGCCAACTTTTTTAAGTAAATAGCATGTCGAGGCCGGTGGCTGTACATCGTTGAAGTCAATCTGCTGGTCCGGGGGTTCTCAAGCTTAAATCTCGAGGAACGCTTCTCTCGTAATGGATTGCCACGGAGTCCCCCCCTATCTCGGCATGAATGCAGTGAAGCAGTGCATAACCCCGCAGACTTCGTAGCCATAATGCACAAACAAGGGGATGTCTAGCATGTAGTGATGCACCAATGAATCGCTCAGATCTCGCTAAACAGTCTTTAAACTGGATGAACACTTTACTTGGGAAGGGAGGGGCGAGGGTAGGGATGGTTGAGGGAATTTGGGAGCCTGTGGAACCTCCAAAGGTATTCTGGGAAACCTATGTACTGGCCAATCTGGAGCAGTTCAGAAGCAATGGCTTGCTTGTTCTTTCAGTGCAAGAGCAAGCAGACATTGCCCGAGCTAATGAGTGCAAGTTGGCTTTAGATTGCTCCAGGTCTGCGAGCGGATCTTGGCATACGGCTCACCTTCAGGTGCTTAAGTAGACCCTCGAGCGCGGACCCTTCCACCAGGGTGACCGTGCAGCCCCCGAACCCACCGCCAGTCATCCGCGTGCCGTAAACTCCGTTGCCGTACGACAGCGTCAGTTCCACAAGTTCGTCCAACTCTGGGCAGGACACCTCGAAGTCATCCCTGCGACATGGCAGCAGCAACACCACTTCTCTGTTTCACACCCGTTCCATATTACGACTGCGATCAGCGTAAAATCCCATATGAATGCCCACCCATTTTGAAAAGATAAACATAAATATTGGGTGGGCAATCTTTGGGTATGAGACAGCAAAAGTAAACACCTCGGAACAGGAACTAGTACTGCAGTTGGCGGACACGGCAGATTCACGTTTTGTGGCGAGAGGGACACTCTCAAACTCCCGTGTCGCGAGTGATACCACAGGCCGTAAATGCGCCAGATTCGCGTTTCATGGTGCAGTAAACACTTGGGAACCCGCTACGAAATCGCACGTCACAGGAACTGATATCGCGCACGCGCACGCAAACTCTGGTTCGGTGCCAAAAAAAAATGCAAAGGAACTCGCTACAAGCTAACATGTCGCTGGACCCAATATTGCAGTCGCGGATGCAGTATATTCGCGTTTCACGGTGCGATGAACCCACGGGAACCTGCTACAAACTTTTGTATGTCGGTAATCGGGTTCTATGGTGCGACAGACACGCGGGAACTTGCTCAAACCTCGCTCGTCACACATACCGATACAGCAAATTGCGCGGTTGATCCGTCGAGAATCTGGGGTAGGCGATGTTTCTGAATTTCTAGCCTGCAGATACTTAGTCAGAAAAAACGGATGGGTGATCTCTCGGGATGGCGTGCATACGAGATTTTACGGTAGGCTCTTGGCAGACATTGCGGGCTGCGTTAGTAAAGCGACTAACCGGAGAGACTGGTGGCTCTCGTTCATGAGCTGACCAAACCGCCGAAGGTCTCCGTCGAGAAGGGCCGACGCCGCGGCGGCTGTGCGGCCGATCTCGGAGATCACGTGCCGTGCCCTTGCGTACTGCGTGGTCGTCAGCTCTTCCCTGTGGGCTGGACATAGGTTCCAACTTAGCACGAAACCTTTTTGCTTTTTTAATATTTTTTTTATGGGAGTGGTTGAGTACAAAAACAACAAAATAACAATCATATGCACACAGTTGTACAAGGTAACACAAAGGAATGCCAGCCTAAAATAGGACTGGAAAAAAAACGTGCCACATCATGGGTTGTCGGAATGGGATTGATTTGGCCAAACGCTTGCACAGCATTTAAACTGGAACAAATATTGCTGCAGCATAGTAAGTAAAACTGAACACGTAAAAAAAAATCCATCATACGTTTGCACAGTTATGATTCCAATAAAAGAAAGGGCTAAAAAAATTTAATCGAATAATCGGGCAGACAGTGAGAAAAGTTCTGGCGTATCGTGAAGCACCAGAATCAGTTTCTCGAGCGTTACGTTTTGTGGGTTTGCTCGTTGCAAGGTGCTTTTTCCAGACTTGTGTGGGTTTGGGGTGACCTTCCTCACCTTGTAACTGTTCCAGAGAAGCGTCTCTGAGACTCACTCCCAGAATGCGAGAGGCCGCGTGGCAGCTAGCTCTCCGCTGGGAGTACTCTCCGCTACTTAGGTCGTGCTTGACGTGCGTGTCCGTCACGAGCACCAGCGCTGAACCCAGCGCCAGAGGCATCGGCTTCGCTTCCAGTGACCTGTAACATGTCAGTTTCAGGGAACAGAAAACTGCCGGCCCTAGCTACCCTGGGACAGGAGCACATCAACATGCAAGCGCCAAACAACTGGCCGCCTTTCTTGCTAGGACAGAGCTGTTTTAGGCAGGGTAGTCTTAAGACAGCTCTGTTCAGTGACTATGACCACTTTTTCAGCGACTATAATCACCCGTTCATTGCCCATAGCCACCTGCTCAGCGACCATAACCACCCATTCAGCTCTCCTAGGCATTCCATCATCAACCATAACAACTCATTCAGCGGCTGCAATTACTTGTTCAATGCCCACAGCCACTCATTCTGCACCCATAACTAGAGCCCTGTGCGGATAACAGTTTGATTATCTGCATCTGATCTGCACCTGCAGACTTTGTAACCGCACCTGTAATGTTTATAAATAATTGTATCCGTATCCGGAGACTTTGTATCTTTATCCGAACCTCATCCGCAAAATTAGGAACCGTGTCCGACCCTCAATCCGTGCATTCATTTTATGTCATGAAATCAAGCATGAATAAAAATTAAAAAAAAAGGCATCTGGATGGCATTTTATAAGCCGTCTGCTTACCTTTCTGCAAAGAACTCTTTGTGTCCGAACACGGTGAAAGTCATTTTATCGTATTTACAAAATGAGTGATCATCCTTCCAGAGACATTTCGCATCGCTAGAAAGATTATCCCAATTATGAAATCATCTTGGGAGTCCATGACACTGACACTCTGTCCTGAAATGTGGTCAAAGGGAAGGCAGTTTTAATATTTCCTGTTGGTCTGTAAAACCCACTTCAAGCAGACACATTTTTTATAAATATAAAAATTAACAAAGGACAGACTAATAGCACCATGTCACTTTGTTTAGGCAAAAGAGCAAAAAAAAAAGTGGGAAGGGAAAGGCACTTGCTGCAGCAAAGCAGTTGTGTACATGTGGTAAGGCGCGAGTACACCACTGGAAAAATGTCACAATATTCAATAATGGCAATGCCTCCTATAGGTTTCAGTTTTAAACACAAACCCTCAACTGCATGCTTGGAACCATATACTTAAAAACAACTCAGTGCCAGCTGTCGAGAAAAAGAAAACACAAACGCAATGTTTCATTTGTCAAGGTTGCTGTGCAGAAGAAACAGAATATTGTCAACGTGGATGGCAGAAGCAGCTTGCAGGCTCCTACTTTCTTGTGGCTTGTACGTTTTGGGTTTTCCTTGCCCAAAGAATGCTTTCCGCTCTTTCCCTGCCATACAAGAACACGCTTTCCCGGGACGACTGATGCTCCTACATTCTTTACTTTTTCTAGGGACTGCATTTTTGGCATGATAGAACGTTCTAAAGCAATCTTCGGTGAGAATCGGTCCTTTCTTGATGTAAAGAACAATTTCCTCCCCAGTCGGCACCTTTTTGTCTAAGAATGTAAAGTGCTTCCTCAGTACATTCGATGATGCACTTCATAGTATCACTTATTCACTCCACTATGCGGTTTCACACGTTTATGGGCCGCATCTGCAGAAACGTGCATCCAAACCTCCAAATATCCGCATTCGATCCGCAGCCCCTGGCATCTGCATGCAAACCGCAATCTGCCAAATCTCGTTCATTTTTCATCTGCCAATTTACTGCGGATATCCGTGGTAAATTAATGATCCGCGGGTAATCCGCAGATACGCAGGGCTCTAGCCATTTCCTCTCAAAATTGAAGTGGCGATTTGAAGCGATTTTGCAGAGATGTGGCCCTACGGAAAACAGCGAGAATAATTGTCCCCTCCCTTCGGGACTGTTTTCAGCGGTGTAAACTGAAGAAGCAAAAAAGGCCTGAGCTCTCGGCACGATCGAACAGTTGAGAAGCATCAAAGAATGTCTGTTTCATGTTTGTTCTTTTTCTTCCTTTTGAGATCTGTGTCTGTCAGTTGGCGGAGGAATCCCGCGGTGCTCTTTTGTTGGCCGAGCAGCCGAGTGAAGACGTGTGACACGAGCGACCCCTGTGGTCGCTGACAGGTTGAAAGTGGCGGGAAAGAGTTCCAGTTGTCCTGCCTCCAGTTAGAGCTCCTTACCTTCCATAACGCTTCGGCATTTCGTGAGTCTCAAGCGATCTTGGCGTACGGCAATGACTGCACATGCTGGAGGCCTGACATTTGAAAGATGTCTGGCTGTTCTCGTAGCGACTATAAACAACTCCTGTAGGAGTTGGCTGCCAAGGGTGGCTAACCGCCACAAGTCTACTTCTCTGTGGTTACAGCTTTTCTTGTTCTGAAGCGACCGTCGCTCGGGGTGTGCACTTGCCTGCAGTCCAAGAGCAGGGCATGGTCGCGGCGAGCCATGCACGAGATGAACTGGTCCATGATGCCGCAGGGAACCTTGGGAAACTGGTGCTCCGCTCGTTGACAGCATAGCGCCCTCTCTGTGTTGCTGCGAGAAGGAGGCGGACGATCGGTAATGCTGCCAAAGTTTATTTGGAGCGAATTAAGCGGTTTAGTCAGTGCTCAAAGTCTCCCTCCAGTCTGGGGGGGGGGGGGGGGGGGGGTCTCTCCTAGCTCGAGCATAGGCAGAGGCCCCTGGAAAAAGGGGGGGGGGGGGGGGCTCTATTTCTGCTTCGTCAAAAACATTAAACCGACACTCCTACAACTTCTTTCTATGGCTATGTATTCTTCCAGTTTATCCAGGACTTGTCATCTCTGTTCCCCAAGCACAGGACTAAGGCAAAGGGACCTTAGATACAACGGGGAATCTCCAACCCCTGCCAAAATTGGAGGGGAGTCCCGGACCCCCTAAACCCCCAGACTTTAAACACTGGGTTTAGTTGTAGAACGTTTGCTTAAATTATGCACTCACAAAATCGAATTTTATAGGTCAGCTAGTGAGCATCGATTAATAAGCTTGCGGGATCTAGTCGAGGCGGCAAAGAAGGTATTTTTGATGTGTGTGTCACTGAAGTGATAGACCTTTTGCAAAACACACAGTGCCCTTTGGGGTGCCGAAAGGACTGCAGGGAATGTCCTATAGAGAATTGGCTGTAGCTGACAAGGGGGCGGAGGCGAGCGGGCGATGGCAGCTAGGCAAGCAACTAGGCTACCCTCTCTTTTTCACTGTCTTTAGTGTCGCATCACATGGTAGATTCTGGGGAAACAAGATATTCCCACCATTTGTTGCACACTTTGTGCGTGGCCTTCTGTTTCTTTTTTTTTTTTTTTTTTATAGTTCTATATGGCATGCAAGTTGGGCTGCTCCTTGCACACCTCATGCATTTGCTTACCCGCCAAATGCACCCACACACTGACCGCTACCAACGACGGCACGCGCTTGACTGCCTGATAATCGCGTGTTGCCTTTTGATTGGCATGCCCCTCCTTGCATTACGATGCACCGAAAACACATTTCGGAACACTTGCTGTCCATACTGCTGTAGGACAAAGAAGTGCACCTGATGTCAAGTGGCTTGTCCAACAGAGATTCCAGGAAGAAGAAGGTGGCAGTTTCGAGAGCAGCAGAACTGGACAGGCCAGCACCAATGGGGACAGAACTGGCCACCACAGCATTGAAGGGGACCAACGGACCTGTGCACACACACATGCATGTGGGCAGGCGTGAACCTTTTGTGCACAGATAGACCCCGAGAGCAGCAAATCGAAAACTGCTTTTCTCTGAGCACAAACATCCATTCGATCCCAGTAGTGTCTGCTACCTTCAACTGTGGTAGAAGGCAAAAAGACTACTCGCATGTCCTCCAATAAACCAAGTTTTTGTTTGTCATCGACAAAAAACAGATCACTTGGGACATTTTGTTACAAACTTACACTGTCCGTCAATTGAAGAATTTTTTGGCATGACTGTCGGTTCTCCAGGATCAAAGTCATGTCTGAAGACACAGAGTCCACATGTCCTAATCCATAGGAGAGTTCTCGTGCATTTCTTTGGAGGGGACACACTTTTATCTGAATTTTTCTCCCATGTAGATGCTATCAGTAAGCAGGTGAGTAAAAGTGAGTAACACCAACACCTGTTAGATAAAGGGCCGCAGTGCACAAATTTCTTTGCAAAGTACCGGAGGCCAGCACAGGGTGCAGATTGGACAAGAATGGTGCGGAAGCGTCCGGCTGGTACTTCTGTCCTCGCTGATTGAATAGGAGTCCCAGCCGAATGCTAACGCAGTACTTATGTCCAACCCGCTGGCTTCCCCTAGGCGACATCAAAAATATACAGCACTACGGCCGTTATCTAACAGGTGTATACGAGGGAGTCAGAATGAGGCACCTGCCTGGGAAGTTTGCGACGACGCCCTTGACGTAGTTGGCCCAGGCGGGCTCCCCTGGCAGCAATTCTTGGTGGGCTGTAGGCAGGGGGAAACTGCACGCAGAGTGGTGTGAGGACGCTCCCGGCACGTTGGAGCTTACGACCTGGCAGCAGGCGTCGGGCGCCGCCTTGGCACCCACCACCACTGTGCCCATGGGCAGGGCCTGGGGTCAGGCAAAAAAAGAAACCGGTTATAGAAGACGAGAATGTTTGGCATGTTTAGACTCAGATATATTTGTTTCCTGAGAGAAGACAGTCTTGTCTTATTGAGTGTATTGAATCAAAAGCAAAGCTTGAGAAGGGGCTGTAGTTGGTCTATATCATAATTTATTTTCCTTGAGGGCCCGTGGGGCATTCACTCATCCACTAGGGTGAGCATTTGCATCGGTAAACATGCATGCCTGTCGCCCTTCTCTGGGTTATCTTTATATGGGTTTTGTACAATTAAACGGCTATCCTAACAGGACACTCGAAAAATGTGGGAAGCGGCACTTCTCTGCCATAGGAAGTGCGGCGATCTGCTTCCGTCCATTTTTTGCTGGAAGAAAGCTTCCCTCCGCCAACATCCGCTTCTGTCCTTGACGGAGGATTAGGGCATGCTGATCACGATGTTCATCACAACCATGTGTGTTGGGCGTATGAGCCCCGATCAAAGAAAAAGCTGCTTCCATATGACTCGGCCCATTCGAAGCTAGTAAAGAGGGGTATTACCTCTAGTTGTCTGGCTGCCTCCTTGAAAAAATCTTGCCCTCACAAAATGAGTTAGTTTTCAGTTGCAGCTAGACAAATGTGGGGTTTCCTTCCCGGGTCTTATGCGATGTTGCTGAAGGGTTGGTAAAGAAGCTGAAGAGACCTGTTGGGGAAGAGGAGGCTGAGAGGGCAAGGCTGGAAGTTAGACTTGTTGTCCTGCCATATGTACATAAGGTCTCTCACAACCTCAAAAAGGTGGCAAATAAGTTTCACATTGCTGTTGTTTTTTCTGCCCCAAACAAGCTTTCTAAGCTTTGCCAAAGAATAAATAATGCAGGTGTGTCAGGTGACGCGGAGGGGGTGTGCTGCAAGCGTCATGCTACCAAGTTTCGGCAGTGTGCCTTAGGGGTCTCTTACGAGGTTCCCCTGTCTTGCGGTAGGGTTTATCTTGGCCAGACAGGGAGGTGCATTAATGATAGAGTCGGAGAACACTCTGCCGCCACCAGGCTATCCCTGCCTGGCCACTTGGCTGTACATTGATAGGTGTGAGTGTCAGGCTGACTTTAATACCAAGATTATGGGAAAATTCAAAACGAAATTGGAACATGAGATACACGAGGCATTCATGACAAGGGCCCATGGCACGAATGTGTGTATTGGTGCGCCTTCTGTTGCCTTATCTGATAAGAAGCAGGCTTTTATCGGTCGCTCAACAGCGACGGCAGGCTTTCCAGGGGGCTAATGAAAGCACATCATCTTTGCGCATGTGTGGTTTTATTCTTCTTTTATGTGTTTTCTTCAGTAAAGTTCAGTTGCAACTTACGCCTCGTCCTGTGTGCTTCTTTCTTTGTCCGTGTTTTTTAGGCGTATTTTCCACCATGCATAAGTACCAACTAGCCCAACTCGCAGTTTTAATTCAGATAGCCACTTGCACGCTCCGTTGGCTGTCAGTCAATCGCTCAAGGCCTCTGCTGCCCTTAAAGTCTAATCCCAAAAACGGGAAAGGGAAGGATACGAGGGTGCGGCAGAACAGATGGACAGCCTCCAACATCACAGAAAAGCAGGGGAGGCGAGGAGGAAAGCCGTGAGGCTTGCCTCAAATACTTTGCTAAGAGAATACAGGACACTCTCCTCATTTGCATGAGACAGAACGGTGGCTGCGCCATAAACCACCCTTGGTGGAGTGGTTGATTTGGCGACGCCTCTCTCCCCCACCACCTCCTCTTGCCACCAAAGCACCTGAAGGCAACGCCTCGGAATGCGGTGCGGTTGACGGGGCTGCAAATGCAAAGACGGTACCGCTGCCCTGCCTCATCAAGCGTTTTTCCTCGGATTGTCGTCGTAGCCTTTTTTTTTTTTTTTATGTATTCTCGGAGAGTGTCCTGTATTCCCCTAGTAAAGCATTTGTTTGCCTGGTGGATATCCAAACAGGACGGACTGCTGGACTTAAACTTTCATTTTTTATGGCGGACGCAATGAAGTGTTGTTCACGCATTCTGAAGCATCCTGTTTGGACAACCCTTTAGCAACACGGTACTGTTGACCAAGAAGAATCGGAAAGATTGCGGGAACATGGAAGCTAAGTCACAATGGTAGGTGTCGAAAAAAAAATATGGTAGAAGATAAGGCTTTTTTAAAAGTACACTTTGCCAGAATGCTCACTACAGTTAAATGATGAACGAAGCAAATATTTTTTTTATATGTTAACGAGCGAGTGTGGATAAAACATATATTTATACATTTACATTGTTTTTAAAAAGTTCAGAAAATGTTTAATATTCTGGTACTCGCACACCGCAGCCATTTCAACAGACAATATGTTGCCTTGTGTTTTTTGCCTCATTTGCGTGCCTGTCTCAATTATTATTTTTTTTTTTTTCGTGTATTCTGACTCTGGCGCGAAGACATGATGATCCTATCATAGCGCATCCATACCTCGGCAAACCTCACTCATGAGGGCCCTCACTCACCCTCATCTTCACAGGTGAGGTGAGGGTGAGTGAGTTTCTGAACCAGGAAAATTCATGAGTGTGAGGGTGAATGAGGGCTGTGAGGGCTGTGAGGGCTGTGAGGGCCCTGAGGGACGTGAGGGCCGTGAGGGCAATGAGGGCGGTAAGGGGTATGAGGGCCATGAGTGCGTGAGGGGCGTGAGGGCGGTGAGTGGCGTGAGGGCCATGAGTGCGTGAGTGGTGTGAGGGCGGTGAGTGCGTGAGGGGTGTGAGCGCCACGAGTGCGTGAGGGCCGTGAGGGCGGTGAGTGCATGAGGTGTGTGAGGGCAGTGAGGGCGGTGAGTGCATGAGGTGTGTGAGGGCCATGAGTGCGTGAGGGCGGTGAGTGCGTGAGGCCCCCTTCAGATCGAGCATCTTTCTCAGCAATTTTGGTGTTAATGGCGGGTTGTTCTCTAGCTATCCCTAGATCGACACGAATTGCTGAGATCGAGTCTGGCTCGATATAAGCAAGCAACTCTGAGCAATTCGAATACGTTTGAAGTGGCTGCATCCAATCAGGGAATACCTCGTGCCGATGATGATGACACCGAAAGACTTGGTTCTGGTTTGAAATCGATCGTTTTTTTGGAAATAAACTGTTTCAGAAAGGTGCATTAGAATTCTTAACGAGATTTAAATGCATAAAAACATGTTTATAACTCGATATTGTGTCTAAATAGTGCAAGAAGAATAAAATTTTATGATGACGATGGGAAATTGCAGCAATTGGTTGCAGCAATTGGTTGCTGCGTGTGGTCACGGGCGGCCCGTGTTGCGACGTAAAGTTTCTGGGCGAAATTGCCCCATCTGAAGCTGGCCTGAGTGGCGTGAGGGTCATCAGTGCGTGAGGGGCGTGGGGGCCGCAAGGACGGTGAGGGGCGTGAGGGCGGTGAGTGGCATGAGGGCGGTGAGGGCGGTGAGAGCGGTGAGTGGCGTGAGGGCGGTGAGTGGCGTGAGGGCCATGAGTGAGTGAGGGGCGTGAGGGCGATGAGTGCGTGAGGGCCGTGAGGTTCAGTGAGGGTGAGTGAAGGGCTGAAGGTGAGTGTGACTGTGAGGGTGAGTGAGGGGCTGAAGGTGAGTGTAGCTGTGAGGGTGAAGGTGAGTGAGGGGCTTAGGTGAGTGTGGCTGTGAGGGTGAGGGTGAGTGAGGGCGACCTAAATTGCCAACCTCTGAGCGCATCCGATGCTGTGAGTGATTGAGCGCAACGTCACGGCGTTCGTCACGTTTCGGGGCGTGTGTTATCATCAGATAAACAAGGTTGCAGGTGAGAAAAGCAAGACAAACCCTTCCCATAAGCCCCACTCTCCACTTCAGGAGAGCGAACGCTGGAAAGGAGGTGAGTGGGGAGGAGGAATCAACCAATCATGGCGAGCAGTGGGAGGAGTTTGTCCAGCTTTTGTGATGTTTCTAGCCTTTCTGCGCTCTTACTTAAGCAAAGTACACATGGGCGGTTTCTCATAGAACTGCAATACGTTTACTCTACCATGGGCAGGACCAATCCGTCACAGTAGTCGACATGTTCGCCGATCAAATTCACTCTGCCGGGCGCCGCGCCGTAGTTGGTCGGTTCTTGCCTGAAGATCGAGCGGAATATGTCGCTGGCACGACTCACGAGCTCATTAACGCCCGGAAACGTATCCACCACGTCGTCCGACATCTTCGCACGAAGTGCTTATTAGGGTGACCTTAGTGGAGGTTTATCTAATCGTATCTTCGCTCGTCGACCTTCGATCAGCCTAGGGTAGCGCGTTCGCAATCCCACAAAGATGATCCATCGAGCCTGAGCTTAGTTAGCAACGCACGGTCGTTAAAAGTTAAGATAATCTGAGACACTCAAGAAACCGCGCGTCTACGTTTTGTTTGTGAATGCTTTGGACGTCAGCGACGTGTGTTCGAATCTTCTGCCTACTGAGAGTAACTCTTCTAGAAATAAACGATGCGATTGAAAACTTCGAGAGTAGAAACAATTAAAAAGCTTGGCTCCAGCGAACCTAGAGACCGAGTGACACTGGGTGACTCGTCGTAACTCTCGAGAGGCGAAGGAGTGACTCTTGTTCGCGTAAACGTTGAAAAAGGGAACACACCGATTTGCGGGTGTTTTGCTGTTGGTTTCGTTTTCGCACTTCCGCGGCAGGATAAGGGTTTCGATTTAATTTCCGATACAAGGCGTCCGGAGCTTTCCTGTAGCTTCGAGAAACGGGAGTGTTTTTTTGTCCGATGTGCCGTGCGTGCCCGCCACTGGTGCCCGCTGTCACGGCGCTAGAGCTAGGTGCTGAGCTGAGCAAGCCAGGCTATGCTTTGACAGCTGCGAGACTCCGAGAGTAATGTTGCTCCGAGCTCTCCGACCAACAACTGCTGCTCGCTCGCTTTAGGAGAGTTCACTTCAAAGCAGCTGCTCGCGCAGCTGCATGCTTCTGAACGTTCTGCGACAAGCTTTCGGGGCATGCGCCAGGTAACATGTCTGTCAGCGACCCTCTTCTCAAGGAACTCAAAGGTGAGTCATGCGCAAGGGCTTAAAGTTTACCGACACCCAATGCTGTTACGAACCGTCGGTGGCACTGCACATGTGTCGCGCAGCACAGGGGAAATATCAGTTCTTTTGCCACATCACAATTCGGGCGACGCGATTGTGCAGTTGTTGTAATTCTTGTTTCCGAGCGTTTGTTGGCACTTACCCAAAGAGGGGATTTGGCCAATGATCCAAAGGGTTAGGTAATATTTTTTGTCGTTAAGTCTGATGTGGCAATTAGTGAGTTGAACAATGTAGTGATTGTGTAGACAACGTCGTTTCGTCCTTGTCTTCTATCGGTACTGGAAGTTGGGGAGCCGTGTGGGATAGCGAAGTTATTAATTAGAATATGCAGTACTGGCTCCTCTTCCTCCTACAAGGTTTATTGATGCTAATCTTACGATGTTATTCACTTAACCACCCCTGCGGCTTCTGGGAAACAATAAAAAATTTACGTGAGACTATGAAAGAAAGTATTTTCAAAGGCTTTCTGTCTAGAATCTTTTGCGTGTATTTTGCTCGTGCGCTAGATTTTTTTATCCTTCAATTGTTGTGAGTAAGCCGGCTGCGCTTAAGAGGACCTTTAACGTTTCTTTTTTAAAATTTGATGCCATTTTGTAGCTAGAGGAAATATTTTTGTGACAAAGATTTTTAATGTTTAAATGACATATAGGAAAATAAACAAGCCACATGGTAGCCGAAGCTGGTCGGAAGAATTTGAAAAGGCTCGGAGCACCTGGACATTTCTCGAAACTGCAGCTGGCGTTCTGCTACGCCTTGAAGAAACTAAGTAGTTTAGTAGCAGAACGTTGGATTATTTTCTGAGATTGCAAGGGAAATACTTTTTATACAGAGGAAAACAATATAGGGCCTTATCCAAAATGAAAAAAAGAAAAAGATGACGTAAGATACCAATTTACTGTTCGGAATGGTAAATCAGTAAACGTTCACAAGTTTCACACTTTCACGAAACGCCATGTATGCCGAGCGCTTAATAGACAAGACAACCCTGTTTTCTAATCGTAAAAATAAGCTACGCGCTTTGCCGAACCTTCGGATTCCGCCCAAATGTGGCGCTAGCGGGCCAGACGAGGTGCCAAAGTTCATAAATATGAAATGAGAAAACGTGTCCTGTATCCAGCAGCAGACGCCTTTCATCTTTATGCACATGCGAGCCTTGCCAGTAGCCCATTTTGTTACTGAAAATTTCCGAAAATCGATTACAACTTTGGACCAGATAACGCGCAAGCGCTGCAACTTTGGCACCAGCGCCTGATGGCTAGAACTACATTTGGGTGGAAACTAATCGTTTGGCGATGTTTACGCTAATCTTGCAATGATAAAAACGGGGTTCTTTTTCCTCCCAAACGCCTTTGATACACACATCATATTCTACTGTCTTGTAAACAATCGGTTCTATATATATAGATAAAAAATAAATTTTACTCAAAGCTTTGTAGAATTGTGCGGTCAGGTGCACTTTTCTAAAGGGCAAGGACAATGCGAAGTCCATAAAAAATAAAATTATTTATTATTTTTATTTATTATTAAATATTACTGAAATCCCTACTCGGGATTTTAGCAGGTGGGGCAGTGCTACAAATAAAACAGGTTGGCAAAATACAAGACAATGCAAACAAGATTCAGAACAATACAAAGAAGCATTTACACAATGATGGAACTACTTTAGATGAGAAGCTAATTACAACGATGGCTGCATGACTACACTGTTAGTAATGTTCTTCCAGTCGTCTACTGTTCGCGAAAAGAAAAAGAATACATAAAGCAGTTATTACGCGAGCGAAAAGGAGTTATACTTAGGTCATACCTGTTCGAATCCCGGCCGAGGTGCCCGCAATCTGACGGAGGCTTATTGCGGAGTAGGCACCGTGTAACCGAGCTTTCGGTTGCACGTCAAAAGATCCCCAGGTGGTCCAAATTAATCCTCAGTCCTCCGCTGGGGCGTGCCAGATGCCCGTCGTTGGTTGGGCACGTAAAACCCCCAAATTTGACTTTGTTAGGTCATACCTCTGTCGAGTAGCGTATGCAGGGGAGAACGTGATTAGTCCAGACAGGTCTACCCCAAAATTCTCATTATTTATTTGATACGAAATTTTTAGTCGATAATGCCGATTTCTTCGAGATAAAGATGGTAAGTTAGTTCTGGTTCAACGTTCAGTTATAGAAGTACGTCCAACGTCATTGTAAATAAAGCGGGCGGCCTTTTCCTGCACACGATCAAATGCATTCGTGTGAATCTTAGTGAATGAGTCCAAAATGATAGCCGCGTAATCTAACGTAGGAATTACAACGCGGAGCGCAAGCTCGTCTGCTTCTTTTGCAGGGGTTGTGGTGACGTCAGAGCGATGCCGAGCTCTGATTGGCTCTGATCGAAGGATAGTGGGTAGAGTTCAAAGCAAGTGGAGCCAATCAGAGCTTGACGTTCTGACGTCACCACAACCCCTGCAAAGGAAGCAGACGAACTTGCGCTGCATTAGATGTTACGTAGTCAGTCTGTTTTGTTTTGGTAAGGTTATGAGTAATCCACAGTCCAAGATATTAATATTGCGTTACTTCAAGATATATTATTAGTGTTGTAATAAATAAAGTTCAATAAAACCTATTGTGAGCATTTTTGATAAAAAAAACACGTTTTCTCAAAGTTAATGGTCATTTGCCCATTCCGTACACCATGTCGCAATATTTTGACACACACACAAAAAAAAAGTTTAGTAATAGGTGATTCGAATTACAACCTATTTATGAGTAAATTATACAATCATCAGGTATAACTTGATTTTCACCGGAAAGTCTTGTGGAATATCATTAATAACAAACAACAAAGCGAGAGACCCCAGTACAAAGCCCCGGGGAACGCCAGAGTTAGCCGAAACTATGTCAGAACAGTGATCAGCAAAAACTACGAATTGTCGACGGTTTGAAATATACGCTAAAATCCATTTGACTAACTGTGTATTCTTACGTATAAATAATAAAAGAAAAATATCACGAATTTAGATTAAAAACAAAAAGAATGGTTGGAATTTTTAAGGACATACTCATTCAACACGTACCACCTTTTGTGACGATCGTAATACAAAAGGATAGATCGACTGACGGGCTTTAATGCTTTCGCGTTGTTAGAGCTAAAAGGTGGTTAACGTGCTATTTTTATTCCTATCATCTCTTGTAGGCAACACCAAACACACACACACACAGAAACACACACACACGAGACAAACACTTTTTACAGAGCTCGTTGCTCGCCGTGATTGGCACTTTCCTTCTCTCCAGGTGTGGGTGGGCACAGCGCGTGCGCAAAAACCATGAGGTGAAACGAAAAAAAAAAATAGTAGAAGGGATGACGAAATGTTAGGCTAGGTGGCGCAAGCTGCCGCCCGTTACAAAGGGTATAGCCATTACCATCCATCCATCCATCAGGCGCGGTGCCGACAGCAGCGCCACCGTGGTGGCATGACGTCAGAGTGTGGAGTTGTTAACTTGCTGGATGGGAAGTTCATCTTGCCGCGGAGAAGTTTATCTTGACGCGGAGATCAGCTTTTCTGCTTCGACTCGACCTCAAATGCAGTAACCACGTTTGAAACGCGAGCCCGCGCGCCGCAGGTGCAACAGAAACATACAGCCGCGGGCCGCCTCATTGCGCAATCTTACCTGCGCGCACCTGACGGACCCTAATTGCTGCCTGTAGCTCGCTTCTCTCACGACCCAGCCATCGTGTTGTAACTAGGCCGTAGACTTTCCGGTGTTTAGTTAATAGGAAGATCGGCGGATGTTTTTCGGTGTATATTTTTTTCCTTCAAATATCGGTGTATCTCGGTGATCTCTATCGGACGGACGCTAAAAACGGAGATTATCGGTAGAAAAATCTAACGAAAAACTAAGAGCTCGTCTCTTAGTTTTCGAAACTAAGAGACGAACTAAGAGAAAAATCTAACGAAAAACACTGATTCAGAAATCGGTGTTTTTCGGTTTGAACATATTTTGTATTTCTGACACCAACGGATGTTTCTCGCTGTTTTACTTTAAAAAAACGTTCGTTGCAAAAAACGCAGTGCGCGCAAAAAAAAAAAAAAAAAAAAATTCTTTCCGGTAGAAGATTTCGCTCTTTTCCTTCGTTTTCCCCTCCAATTTTCTTCTCACATCTTTACGTCCTTCTTGCACTGGCAGGAAATGAGCACTGAAAGAGGCTTGTTGCTATCGCTTGACTCGGAGTCGTGGATCGCTCTTCGGGCTATTCTGTGACGGGCTCACGAGTTTCTTTTTCCGGGAAGGACAATACTCCTTTCATTCTCAAGCTGACAGTGCGGTGGAAGCTACATGTTCGCCGGACCAGTCCCATGCCTCCCTTTCGCCACGTGATACGCCTTATACACTCGCAGGGAGCGGGGTCAGTTGATGCAAGGGAGGCGGTTGATTGGACCGGCGAGCGCGTAACATCTACAGCACTGTCACCTCAAGGGTCAACGGAGATTCTTCTCTTTTTTTTTATAAAGCCAACGGCGTTGAGCTAATGGTTGCGTATTCTTTTGCGCAGCTCTAAGGGACCCGTTTCCGGCTTGAGCGGCGTCGGCGTAACCGCGAGGTCACGTGACCCCCCCACTCCCCGAGGCCACGTGACCCCCCCCCCCCCCCGGTCACTTGACCCCCCAGGTCACGTGACCCCCCCCACCCCCCCGGAGGAGATTGAAGAATCAGGGGAGGAGGAGGAAAAGGAGGAGGAGGAGGGGTATACCCTCCCCCAGTACCCTTCCCTCCTCCTCCTCCTCAAGAGCTGCGATCTAATTCGGCGTTACAGGAAGCTGTAAACGGCTTTGACTTTTTTTTTATTATTATGCATCTAGCTAAATGGCGAATGCAAATAATAATTTAGGCTTGCGCTCCTCTTTTTTTTTTTAAATCCTTTTATGCATTTACTTTTACCTCAAACTTTTTATTTATCAAAAACGCCGCTAAAGAAACATGTC